TCCAGTGAAATAGCCATTATGCTAATTGCTGGTTCCCATCAAGTATTTCTTGATGGAAAAATGAACTACGGTAGAAATGTGCTTTCCCTCCCTCTGTCTTTCATATGAATGTTAGAACTATACTGATCAAATATCTTATTCTTGGAGGTGAAGTTAAGTCTATCTTCACATCATTGTTTTAAGTTGTTTATAACCAATAGCCAAGGTGAGCATGGCACTTGAAAGTGTAAATTCTATCTCCTGTTTTTGTTGTTAAACTTACTGTTTTAATTGCCAGAGGGTGCATGTGCTTGCAGGGGAGAGAGAGAGAGAGAGAGAAAATGAACCCTAGTGAGATGTGGTTATACTACTGTAGTCCCTTCTCTCTACTTTCTTTTCTTTTTAATTTGCAAGAGGGTACATGCACTCACCAGAGACACAGAAAGAGGTAAGAAGAGGGAGAAAGCACCCCCATGGGAAATGGTTATGCCATAATCCCTTCTCCTTCATTCTTCCCATGTTTTTGGAATTTGGGGCATGCACACCTGCACTTAGAGTTTTCAAACCGTAGCGGCCAGCACTCTTACTGTCCAGTTGGCCATGTGATATCCAGCTCTCTTAACCACCAGACCATGGACTGGCCATCCTGGGATGGAAATTTGAGCATGTACACAAATGTGCCTTTCACATACTTCAAACTCCTGGGGCTAGGATTTGAGCTGTGTGGAATCCAGCTCTTTTAACCATGAGGTTATGGGGCTGGTCCTAAATTTAAAAATAACTTGTACCATATGATTAATATTTTAGTAAACATATACATCATGAAATGATTACTATAGTCAAGCCAATTAACCTATCTCCTTGCCTAGTTACTTTATATTTGTTTTTGGTACAAAAATTCAGAATCACATACCTACACATCTAGCACTACTACACACCTAGGCAGTATGGTACAGTCTCTTTGCTCTATGGGACCACTGTTGTATGTATAGTCTGTTGACTGAAGAGTCATAATGCAGCACATGAGTGTCAATATGTATATATCCATTGTAGAATTTAGTAATTGAGCTTACTAAGGCGATCTGTTCACAGTTAGCCAAAATGTAACATATTTTTTACTTAAAAAATATCTTGATGGGGGCCAGCAGGTGGCGTGGTAGTTAAGGGCACCCACATGGCCAACTGCAGGTCAAGTCCGGTCCTGGACTTGGTGGCTTGCTTTCTTGCCACCACCCCTCCCCAACCCCCACCGCCCTCTGTCCCTCTCTGGTCAAATTAAAATAAAGTACAAAAATAATTCTTTATTGTGAGTATGTGTTCAAGATTGTGAGTATGTGTTGGCATGTCCAGTATGTTTAGTTGACATGGGGCCTCCTGTATGGCTCTAGTATCATGCAGTGGCACGCTACCATCTGCATCACTGTGGCTGGGTCTAAATTGCATTTTTTATTAATACGTAACTTTGACACTTAACATTCTTTTGACTCTTAACATTAATTTCTATTTGATCTTTGCCCATAATTTTAATTATTAGCTCTGAATTTTGTAAAATTGACATTCATTAAAATTTTCTCGGGACCAACAGATGGTATAGTGGTTATATCAGTGGACTCCCACATGATCAACTTCAGTTCAAGTCCTGGACCCAGTGGCTTGAAAATCACGTCTGTGTGTATGCCCAAGATCCTGGGAGGAGAAGGGATTGTCGCATGGCCATCCCCTCTGGTGGGGGGGGTGATTTCTCACTTTTCCCTCTCACTGTCTCCGTCTTTCTCTTCCCGAAGAACACATGCACCCTAGGACAAAAAATCTCTAAAAAAATTTTTTTTCTCTTACACCTTGGAGCACGGGTGTTTAAAGAGCCTATTGGGACCAGCAGGTGGCATGATGGTTAAGGGTGCTGGACTCCCACATGGCTGACTGCAGTTCAAGTCCCAGACTCAGCATCATGCTTTCCCACTTTCTCACTTTCTCTCGCTGTCCCTTTCTGGTCAAAAATAAATAAATAAAGTTCAATAAAATAATTATTTAAAAAAAGAAAGAGCCTATCTTTCCCATGACGATGTTAATAGTGGTGATAGCAAAAAATTCTATTTTATCGAATTAAGAACTTTAAAAGTAAAACCTAGGATACCAGCAGTTAGCGTAATGGCTATGTCGCTGGACTCTCATGTAGTCGACCATGGTTTGAGTCCCAGACCCGGTGGCTTAAACTCACACTGGGTGCACGTGTGTGCGTGCGCAAGATCCCGAGAAGAGAATGGAGGAGAAAGGATTGCGGCGTGGCCATCCCCCCGGGGGAGGTGATTTCTCGCTTTCTATCTCTCTGTCTTTCTGGAGAGCACACGTGCCCTATAGCAAAAACCTCTCCAAAAAAGAAAAAAAAAAAAGTAAAACCTAGAAGGAAAGCATCCAGTGCTTCATTTTAATTTTCGTTTTGTTTACTGATCTCAGAAAGTTGTTGGAAATATGATTGATACTCTTTAGTGGAAATGATTTTGAAAGCTTATTTACTTTTTTTCCGTGAGAACTTACATATGTATTCTGTGATGGAGAAAGAATGAAAGAGAAACAGTACACCTCACAGTCCTGACGCCATGATCCACCCTTAGCTTCAGCCAGCCCCAGATCATGGGCATGTGCATCAGCAAGGTCTCATACAATCCCAGAACCTTCCCATGTAGTTCAGCTTTGGAAAGCATTGTGTTTTATTATGGACCCCGACTTTTTAACTTTGTGGTTGACAGCAAAAATCCAAGGACTACAGAACAAGATTTGTTAGATTTGAAGTGTTTTATAGTGGTTAAACACTGTGTCATAGAAATCTAAGTCCAACTGACTGACTACAGTTTTAATCCTGGCCTAGCAGTTTGAAAGATACTCCAGGCACTTGGATGTGCAGGCCACCATCCTGATGGGATGGAGAAATAGAAGGAAAAGGATCACTCATGATCCCATCCCATAGAGGGGGGAGATTCTTCTCTTCTCTCTGGCAAGTGCATGTGCCTGAGGCATGAAAAATTTCCCCCCATTTTATAGGTGTACAATCATTTCTTGCATAACAGTTTTATTTACTATCATTTTGACTTTTTTATTTACCTTTACAACAACCTTAGGAAGCCGTAATGGATGTGCATTACTTAAGTATGTATTCATGAGGAAATATAGAACACACACACTTACACACACACCTTTTCTAAGGTTTTTGCCATAGAGTTTCTGCGGTCATCAGAGAGAGATGGAGAATGGGAAAGTGAGAAATCATCCCCTAGGGGATTTGGCCATGCTGCAGTCCCTTCTTTCTCTTCTTGGGATTTTAGATACACACATTCACTGGTGTGATTTTCTAGCTGCTGGATCTGGGACTTGAACTGTGGTCTGCCTTGTGGGAGTCCGGTGCCTTAACCACCACACCACCTGCTCTTTTCTTTTCTTTTCTTTTGGAGAGGTTTTCGCTATAGGGCGCATGTGCTTGCCAGACAGAGAGACAGAAAGCGAGAAATCACCCCCCAGGGGGGATGGCCACGCCGCAATCCCTTCTCCTCCATTCTCCTCTTGGGATCTTGGGCATGCATGCACATGTGCCTAGCGTGAGTTTTAAGCCACCGGTCCAGGACGCGAACCGCGGTCAACTACATGGGAGTCCAGCGACATAGCCATTACGCTAACTGCTAGTCCCCACCTGCTCTTTATGTATATATGTATACACACACACACACGCACGCACACAACACACTATGAAAACTTTTACTTTTGTGCCATGTAGCTAAAACTTTAAGTCTAATAGATTGCTATACATCAGGAGTTGGCTACCACGGGTCCTATGTTATAGGAATTTTTTTTTTTTTTTTTTTTTTGTCTAGTAAGAGAGAGAAGGAAGGCTGGTCCCATGGCCTAGTGGTTAAGGGAACTGGATCCACATGGCCAACCATGTGGTTTAAATCTTTGCCTTGGCAGATTGAAAGACATGCTGGATGCATGTGCATGTGTATCCCAAATCCCCAAATGCTGGCAAAATGAATGAGAAAGGGTTGCAGGGTGACCATGCCTCCTCTGGTGATACTTTGTGCTCCCACCCCAGTGTCTATCTCTCGTGAGTGCACGTGCCCCCTGACAAAATGTGAAAAAAGAGAAGAGGAAAAGGGAGAGAGACACACAGATAAGTAGTTTTTGACAGGGTCTTGCATGCCATCATCTTTCTGTTGCAGCCTCCTTGTTACCTAGGATTACAGACATATACTTTGCCAGGCATTTATCAGATTAGGCCAGAGGAACCAAACCTGGACCTCCCGTGTGTCTTCCAGACTCCCAAGTGGTAGTGCTGACTAGGACAAATGGGAAGTAGGTACAGGTTTTCTTAGCTGCCTTTCTACTTCTTCTCTTCTCTTCTCCCTTGTGTTTCAAGCCCTAGATCTTTGCTTTTTTGCTTATAGCTGCTAATGCATTTGCCTATAGTATTTCATGTACTATATAGTACATCCTTTATGTACTCCCTTTAAAAAATATCTTTAAAGTACTCATTTAGAAGATTGGCAGTGGAATTGGTAGCCATTTTTGAATGCTCATGTCTGGGGTACTAAGGAATGTATCTTGAGGAGAGGAGAAAGCTGTCTCATCATTCCCCCTGCTTTTCCCTCATTGGTCAAGTGGAACAGATACTTCCTGAGGTGTTACTGGCAGCTCTTCCCTAGGATGAGAGACAAGCAGCAACTTAGGGGTCACCTTCCACCCATTCCATATTACCATTGAGAGAGCAAATAAATGTCAACCTGGTTCAAGATTCTTGGTGTAAGTAGAACCTCAAAAATAGGAGGCAAACTAGTCATTCATAGAAATAAGCAGAAAAGTATATGTATGCCATTTATTGTAACAGTCACCTGTGTTTGCAGTCACTTTTTAATCACTTTTTAGCCATTTTTGATCTTTGGTCTTCCAAAATAGGGGTGACTTCATTAATGACACCACTGTTTGAAAAAAAATAAATGTGTTTTTAAATTTTTGTTTTCTCTTTGTCTAACTAGATGTGATGCTGACCCTTCAGCCTTAGCCAACTATGTTGTAGCACTGGTCAAGAAGGACAAACCTGAGAAAGAATTGAAAGCCTTTTGTGCTGATCAACTTGATGTCTTTTTACAAAAAGGTAATTATTATGGGCCTTCAATCAGGTATTTAGGTAAAGATTTTGTATTTAAAACTTCCTGGAAAGTCTTGGAAGATAAAAACTTGATAGCAAAAAAAGTGCTCAGAATCCTTTCAATATATGAGTATACCCCTTCATACTTAATTATTTATCATGTGTTTTGGCTGCACAGGTTTTGTCCCTTTCTTTCTTTGTTTCCTTCCTGTATTAAGGGAATGGCAGCTGTAATGCTTTTTAGATGACTGGGTCCTTTGCAACTTTGGCAGAGCTACTTCATGATTTAGGGGAAATAGTTTAAGAATAATGAAGCTACTTATTCTTGCTGTTTATTAAGATAGTTAAACCATCTGTTTTCCCCCTTGGCTGGGGCTTCTTAATATCCAAGAAGAAATGATCATGATCCTCTTCTCTTTGTGTCTTTGACTTTCTATCTTTTTTGCTAAAGTCCTTTCCATGGTGTGTAGAGCTTCCCTGAGCTCTTGTGTGCTTCCTTTCTGACCTCGTCTTGTTCCACTCTAGCCAGATTTACCACCCCACTATTTTTTTTTAATGTGGCAATCATATTCCCAGATCAGGGTCTTTGAACATGTTTCACACTTGCCAGAAACATGAATCCTCCCTCAGTTCTGCTCTTTTCAAATGTCATCTTCTCAGAGCTGTTTCTCCGGAGCACTCTGTGTACAGTGCACCCCATGCCTTCTCTTCTACCAACTCTGCCTCTTTTCTTGGCACTTCCTGTCGTATTTTTATTTGCCGTTTGTCTCCCTCTTCCTCCCTGTTTGTCCTTTTGTTGAGTGTGTAGACTTGGAATTTATGGTGCTTGGGATATAGATGTTCAATAAATGTTGAATGGTTGAAGGAATAGGAACATGGGTAATATACACTTAATAGTTGAACTAGCAGTTGGTAACGAGAATCCTGTAACTCAAATATCTGCTGAGAAAGAAAAGTGGTAAATATGGCTTCTTAATCTAAAACACGGGATTACATGTTTTTCAATGCATTTTAAGGCTTCTGGGACGTAAATATCAAACCTACTACGGAATTTCTCACTACTACAAATGAATCTTTTCTTTTCTAAATGTATTAATTTACATTAAAGGGACCAGCAGTTAGTGTAATGGCTATGTTGCTGGACTCCCATGTAGTTGACCGGGGTTCGAGTCCCAGACCCGGTGGCTTAAAACTCATGCCGGGCGCATGTGCGTGCGTGCCCAAAATCCCAAGAGGAGAATGGAAGAGAAGGGAATGCGGTGTGGCCAACCCTCCCGGGGGGGGATTTCTCGCTTTCTGTCTCTCTTTCTTTCTCTGTCTGGTGAGCACATGCGCCCTATGGCAAAAACTTCTCCAAAAAAAAGAATTTACATTAAAGATAAATCATGAAATGCAGAGCTATAAAAGAAGAAAAAACAAATACAGTAAAGATATTTGGAATAAGAGACAAACCTTTGTTTAGACTTCTAAGACTTCCTTATAAAAAAAACTATGAAGGTCTTTTTTTATTTTTAAATTTAATTTATTATTATTATTATTATTTAATCTGCTCTAGGACATGCACATTCACCCAGAGAGAGACAGAGAGAAAGTAAGAAAGCAAGCCACCAGGTCCAGGACTCGAACCACAGTTGACCATATGGGAGTCCAGGTCCACAGCTATCATGTCAATTCCTGGCCATCCTATAAGTCTTAAGCAGTACTTTTTTTTTTTTTAAATGATAAAAAACAATAAATATTAGGGAATGTTATAAAATGCATTTTTTAAAAGAATTATTTATTTAATTTTATTTATTCATTCACTTATTTTTAATTTGACCAGAGTGAGACACACACACGCACGCACGTGCGCACACACACACACACACACACACACACATACACACACACACATACAGAGAGAGAGAGAGAGAGAGAGAGAGAGAAAGCGAAAGCAAGCCACCGAGTCTGGGACTCAACCTGTGGTTGGCCATGTGGGAGTGTCCAGTGCCTTAACCACCACGCCACCTGCTGGTATCTCTAAAATGCATTTTTAAGAGGCGGAGAAAATAAGCAGCTATAACTTTGCTACCAGAGATAAAAATTACTCTTACCTACTTCTGTATGTCCTTCTAGAGTAGCACTGTCCACTAGAACTTTGTACAGTGATTTTTAAAAAGGAATTATTATTTATTTATTTCCATTTGTTATTAATATTTTTTAATTTGACCAGACAGAGAGAAAGGGGAAGTGAGAAAGCAAGCCTCTAGGTCTGGGACTCGAGCCATGGTCGGCCATGTGGGAATCCAGCGCCTTTAACCACCAGGCCACCTGCCGGCCCCTGTGCAGTGATTTATATGGTCTATAGTTGATCTTTCTGGTTCAGTAGCCTTAGCTGACTGTGGCTATGGAGTACTTGAAATGTGGCTAATGTGATTGAGAAACTAACTGTTCATTTTAATTAATTTAAGCTCAAAATAGCCACATATGTCTATGGGCTGCCCTGTTTCGTATTACATATCAAAGACATTTTAAATGAGCATTCTCTTTTGTAATATGCTTTTTTTTTTTTAATTGCCAAAGAGTATGTATGCTTGTCAGAAAGAGAGGGAGACACCACACTCCACAGAGGCAAATCATACTACAGTCCCTTCTTCTCCATTTACCCATCCTGTTGGGATTTTGAGCATACATGCACATGCATCTAGCATGCTTTTTTATTTTGAATTTTTTGGAGAGGTTTTCTGTAGGGTGCTCGTGCTCACCAGAAAGATAGAGAGACAGCGAGAAATCACCCCCTAGGGAGGATGACCACACTGCAATCCCTTCTCCACTGTCCTCTCGGGATCTTGGGCACACATGCAGATGTGCCCAGCGTAAGTTTAAACCACTGGGTCCGGGACTCGAACCGTGGTCGACTACATGGGAGTCCAGTGACAGCCATTACACCATCTGCTAGTCCCCTGGCATGTTTCTTAAGCTACTGGAGCCAGAACTTGAACCTTGGTTGGGCATGTGAGAACTGGCCTCCTTGAATGTTAGGTCATGTGGCCAGCTTTGTCTTATGCTTTTTTTTTCTTTTTAAAGAGGTTTTTGCCTTAGGATACGTGTGCTTGCCAGAGAGACAGTGACAGGGAGAGGGAAAAGTGAGAAATCACCCTCCATCCCTGGGCGGATGGCTGCAATCTCTTCTCCTGGGATCTAGGGCACGCACATACATGTGCCTGGCATGATTTTCAAGCCACTGGTCCAGAGCTTGGATATTAGTTGGCCATTTAGGAGTCCAGTGCCACCTGCTGGCCCTTTTTTTTCTTTTTTTTTTTTTTCCAAAGAGAGATTTTTGCTATAGGGCATGTGTGCTAGCCCAAGAGACAGAGAGAAAGTGAGAAATCACCGTCATGGGGGGATGACTATGACACAGTTCCTTGGAGGTAGAGTGCTTTCTCACTTTCCTTCTCTCTCTTTCTCTGGTGAGTGCACATGCCCTATACCAGATTAAAAATAAATAAAGACAAAAAAGTAATTTGAGGGACCAGCAGATGGTATAATGGTTACATCATTGAACTCTCATGTAGTTGACTGCAATTCCAGTCCGGGACACAGGTGACTTAAAACTCAAGTTGAGCATGTGTGTGTGTGTATGCCCAAGATCCTGAGAAGAGAATGGAGGAGAAGGAATTGCAGCATGGCCATCCCTCCAGGGGGTGATTTTTCACTTTGTCTCTCCTGTTTCTCTTGTCTCTCCAGCGAGCACATGGGGGCTACAGTAAAAATCTCTCTTTAAAAAAATAGTAGTTTGACATTTTAGAAGTAGCTGTTTGGGGGTCAACCACCATGGTGGTTAAGGGTGCTAGACTCCCACATGGCTGACCATGGTTTGAGTCTTGGACCTGGCAGCTTGCTTTTTCACTCCTCCTCCCCACTTTGTCCCTCTCTGGTCAAATTTAAAAAAAAAAATAAAGTTAAGTAAAATAATTCTTTTTCTTAAAAAAAAAAGATTATTTTATTTAATTTTATTTATTCATTCATTTATTTTAATCTGATCAGAGAGAGAGAGAGACAGAGAGAGAAAGCGAGAAAGCAAGCTACCAAGTCCATGACTTGAACCATGGCCAGCCACATGGGAGTGTCCAGCACTTTAACCACCATGCCACCTGCTGGTCCCCATAAACAAAATAATTCTTAAAAGACAAAAGAAAGAAATAGTAGCTATTTAGGGTAGGTGGTGTGGTGGTTAAGGCACTGGACTCCCACATGGCTAACCATGATTTGAGTCCTGGACCTGGCAGCTTGCTCACTTTTGCTCACTCTCTCATGAGTGTACATGCCCTATTACAAATAAAATAATAATCATAAAATTAAATAGTTGTTTTTTTTAAAAGTAGCTGTTTATGTGAAATCTGTAATAATTTCCATTGTAAGCAGAGCCTGTGTTGCGTTTTTAATATGTTCTTTTTTTTTTATTGCCAGAGGAGGCATGTGCTGTCCAGAGAGAGGGAGAAAGCACTCCCTCCAATGTGATGTGTCACTTGCAATCCCTCATTCATTTCTCTATCATACTAGAATTTGGAGCATACACACACGTGCACCTTGTGTTTTTCAAACTGCTGAGGCGGGATTTGAACCACAGTTGGCCACAAGGAATCTGGCTTCCTTAGCCACTAGGTTGTGCAATGCCCCTACCCCTTTGTTTCCCCTCTATTTAATGTTTCCTTGGCTTTGCACTAGCTTTTTAGTTGATGGAGTCCCACTTGTTAGTTGGGGGATTATTGACTGTGCTTTAGGGATCTTATTTAAGAAATCATCCCCTACTCCAGTGGCTTCAAGAGTGTCCCCTTTACTTTCTACCAGGTTTTTTTTTTTTTTTTTTTTTTTAAGAATTATTTATTCATTTATTTTAATTTGACCAGAGACAGAGACAGAGAGAGAGAGAGAGAAAGCAAGCCACCAGGTCTGGGACTTGAACCATGGTCAGCCATGTGGAAGTGTCCAGCACCTTAACCACCACACCACTTGTTGGCCTTCCCATCAGTAGTTTTATAGTTTGAAGCTTATACATTTAAATCTTGGATCTATTTTGGGTTGATTTTTGTTAATGGTGAGCTAGAGGGATCTAGTTTCATTTTTCTAATTTTTTAAGAATTATTTTATTTAACTCATTTTAGCTTGACTAGAGAGGGGCAGAGAGAGAGCGAGCGCACGCGTGTGCGCAAGCCATCAGTTCTGGAACTTGAACCGTGATCGTCCATGTGGGAGTCAAGCACCCTTAGCCACCACATCACCTGTTGGTCCCCCCAGTTTAATTTTTCTGTAGATGGATATCGGGTTCTTCTAACACCATTTGCTAAAAACACTTTGTTTTCTTCACTGGATTGTCTTATGCCCTTTGTTAAAGATCAGTTGACCGTATGATTTGGGGTTTATTTCTGGATTCTCTATTCTCTTCCACTGGTCTGTGTTTCTGTTTTGTACCAATACCATGCTGTTTTGATTATCACAACTTTGTAATATATGCGGAGGCCAGGTAGTGAGACTCCTCCTCCCTTATTCTTTTTGCATAGTATTGCTTTGCTGTGTGTTGTCAGACTTTTGTTTTCTGTCTGTGTAACACTTTAATATTTCTTTTCCTTAGAAACTTCGGGGTTTGTGGACAAACTATTTGAAAGTCTCTATACTAAGAACTACCTTCCGCCTTTGGAACCAGTTAAGCCTGAGCCCAAACCACTAGTCCAAGAAAAGGAAGAAATTAAAGAAGAGGTAATGCAAAAATTTCTTTTGTTTTTGGAGGCTTCTTACATCCTATTATGTATCCTTAACAGGAAATTGAGCTCTTTTAGGATTAATTATCCATTGATTGAACTTATGAGCCTTTGGGAATGGTGCAGATTCTTCATAAGCATTTCTTAGTTTCTTGGACTTAAAGAGTTGAAACAATTTGAAATATCTTGTTTGGAGATCCAGTAAGTATTTTAGTAATATTGAAAGTTTCAGAGAAATCTCATGCAGTGGTTTTAGAAGAAAAAAACTTAAATAAATGTAGAAGCTTGAGTAAACATATCAATGAAACCACAAGAAATATCATTAGGTAACACATTTTCATGTATATAGAGAAATCACTTTTATTATTTTTCAGATATTTCTATAGGGTATGGGTACTTGCCAGAGTGGGGCAGTGGCAGTGAGAAACCACCCCTTACCCCAGGGTATGACCACTCTGCAATCTCTTCTCTTGGAATTTTGAGCCCCACACGCACACACGCCTGGTATGGTTTTCAAGCCATCAGTCTGGTACTCAAACTGGGGCAGAGTCGGCCTTGTATGATCCAGAGCCTTAAACATCATGTTGCCAACTGGCCCTCATTTGCTCTTGTTAACCATAAAAATGTGTTTGGTTTTTATTTATTTATTTATTTATTTTTTAGTTTATTTTTTTCCTTGAGTGAAAGACAAAAAGGCAGTACCCCCAATAGGGGCTTTTTTTTTTTGGTGGGGAGAGATTTTCACTTTAGGGCGCGTGCGCTTGCCAGACAGACAGAGACAGACATAGAGACAGAAAGCGAGAAATCACCCCCCAGGGGGGATGGTCACGCCGCAATCCCTTCTCCTCCATTCTCCTCTCGGGATCTTGGGCACGCACGCACACGCGCCCGGCGTGAGTTTTAAGCCACCAGGTCCGGGACACGAACCGTGGTCGACTACGTGGGAGTCCAGCAACATAGCCATTACGCTAACTGCTGGTTCCCCCCCCAATAGGGTCTTGATACCACAGTCTGCCCAGAGCCTTTGGCCGACTCTAGAACAGGGACAAGAATGTGTCTGATATACTCAGGGAGGTCTTTGGACTTGAACTGGGAACCTTCTCTTGGGGGATTTCCTTACAGAGTGTTGTTATTACTAGGTCATCATCTTGTCCCTAGAGTCCTTTTTTATTTTAGATAGGTAATGTAATTATAACCATCATTATCAACATTGAAAAAAAAGGAAAGAATGTTTTTATGATATTGAAGTATAAATGTGATTATAGATGGTAACCTAATTGATTGAACCAAAGACAATTTCATTTGTAATTTTATTTATTTATAATTCTTTGTATATATAAACAGTAAGTAATGTTAAGACTGGATTCTATAATCAGGTTGCATAAATTAAAATAGCAGGTATTCAACAAGTTACTTGTCTCTCTCACTTTCATACTAATAAAATGAGGATCATAGTAATAGTTATTGAAGATTAAATGAGATTTTAATATATTGGGTCATCAGAAAAGTCATTTTTGCATAGAAAAACATATTGTGACTTTTCTGATGACCCAGTATTTTCCAGTCAAATACATAGCACATGAATATATTGGATTTTATAGAAATTATTTCTCAACATTCTGAAGACTAAATACCTTTAGTTGAACTTTTTATGTGGAAATACTTTAAAACTCATGTAAAAGTGATAAAATTAAAACTCAGAATACTCATCTGATGTCAGTTGAAGTTTATTCATTGAAGATTTACCCCATTTGTGGTCTTTTTTTTTTTTAAAGAATTATTTTATTTATTATTTATTTTATTTTAATTTGAAAAGAGAGGTGGGGGGAGAGAGAGAGAGTGAGAAAGTGAGAAAGCAAGGAGTCAGGTCTGGGACTGGAACCGTTTGGCCATGTGGGAGTCCAGTGCCCCACCATGCCAACTGGCAGCCCCAAAATTTTTTTTGCCTTAGGGCATGTGCACTTGCCAGAGAGAGAGCCGCACAGACACAATGAGAGGGAAAGTGAGAAATCACTCCTTGGGGGGATGGCCACATGTAGTCCCTTCTCCTCCATTCTCCTCTGTGATCTTGTGTTCAGTGATGGAACCGCTACACCATCATCTGCTGCTTCTCCATTTGCTCTCTCTATATACTTACACCATTACTTTTTTTTTTCTCAGTCATTTGGTAGTAAATTACTTACATCATGATCCTTCACCCTTGAAAACCTCAGTCTGTATTTTCTTTCTCTCTTTCTTTCTTTCTTTCTTTTTTTTTTTTTTTTTTTTTTTTTTTTTTTTTTGTTATAATTTGCTAGGGAACATGAGTACTCAGTGGAGAGAGACACGAGAAAGACAGAAAGTACCCCACATGGGGATGCTTGTACCACAACACCACCTCAATTTCTCCTTTTGGGATTTTGGATATGCATGTGCCCAGCAGGTTTCTTTAAACAAATTCTTTTTTAAGAATTGTTTATTTAATTTTATTGATCATTTTTATTTATTTTTCAAAGAATTATTTATTTTTATTTGTTCTTATGATTATTTTTTAATTTGGTATAGGACACATGTGTTCACCAGAGAGATACAGAGACAGAAAGAGAGGTGGGTTGTGAAAGTAAGATGCCAAGTCCGGAACTTAAACCACAGTTGACCATTTGAGAGTTCAGTACCTTAACCACCATGCCACCTGTCCTCTAGTACTATGTTTTTTTTTTTTAAAAGAATTATCCTATTTTTACTTATTTATTTACCTATTATTTACTTACTTACCTGCTGGCTCCTGCTATTGTTATTTTTTTTTCAAAGAATCTTTCTTACTTTTCCCCCTTTTCTTCCTTCCTTCCTTCCTTCCTTCCTTCCTTCCTTCCTTCCTTCTTTCCTTCCTTCCCCTCTTTCTCTCCTTCTCTTTCTTTCTTTCTTTCTTTCTTTCTTTCTTTCTTTCTTTCTTTCTTTTTCTTTCTCCTTTCTTCAGAGGGATAGAGTGAGAGAGAGAGGAGGGGGAAGTGAGAAAGCAAGCCACCAGGTCCGGGACTCAAACCATGGTTGACCATGTGGGAGTCCAGTGCCCTTAACCACCATACCACCTGCCTGCCCCACCTACTATTATTTAATTTGCTACAGGGCATCTGTGTTCTCCAGAGAGAGACAGAGAGAGAGAAAACGAGAAAGCAAGCCACAGGTCTAGGACTCAAACCATGGTTAGCCATGTGTAGTCTAGCCCCTAAACCAGAACACCATCTGTTGGTCTCTTCAGAATGTTTTTTTTTTTTTTGATTTTATTTAAAAAAATTTTTTTAAATATACATTTTTTAAAAAAAATTATTTATTTTAATTTGACCAGAGAGGGACAGAGAGAGAGAGAGAGAATGAGAGAGTGCGAGAGATAGAGAGAGAGAAAGCAAGCCACCAGGTCCGGGACTCGAACTGCGGTTGGTCATGTGGGAGTCCAGCACACTTAACTACCACTCTACCTGCCGGCCTCACTCCAGCATGTTTTTTAAGCCGCCATGTCCAAAAATGCACTGTTTGGTCATGTGAGATCCAACTGCCTTAACTGCCTTATTGCCACTAGCTAGCCCAAAAGTTACTTGTTTTTTTCCATGAGAAAGAGAGAGAGAGACAGAAAAAAGCACCCCAAAAGGATTCTTATACCATGATCCACCCCTAATGTCAGCTGGTCTGGATCATGAGAACACACATGTACACTTGACATGCACAAGGAAGTCTTGGAATGTGAACTCAGCACCTTTTCTATGTGGGTCCACTTGTGCCACTGTTGCACCACTGCCTTGCCACTGTGTGTTTTCTAAGAATGAGAATATTCTTTTAGATAGCTGAAGTACTATTACCAATTTCAGTAAATTAAAAAAAAAAAAAAAAAAGCTTGCTAGAGAGAGCATGCTCTTGTCAGAGAGACAGAGAGAGGGGAAGGGAATAGCACTCTCCATGGAGAAGGGTCATGCCACAACCCCTTCTCTTCTCCCTTTTTTCTACCCATTGGTATTTTGGGCATGCATATGTGCCTAGCATGTTTCTGAAGCATTTGGGTCCAGGACTCGAACTGCGAGGTTGGCTGTGTGGAATCTGTCTGCCTTAAGGACCCAGAGCTGGTCCAACAATTTTAGTAAATTAAACATGGACACAGTACTTTAACTTTAACCTACCGTCTATATTATTACCATTTTTTTTTTTTGAGAGAAATTTTTTTGCTATAGGACAGGTGCGTTCACCAGAGAGACAGAGAAACAAAAAGTGAGAAATCATACCCAAGAGGGAGGCCATGCTATAGTCTCTTCTCTTTTACTTCTCCTCTCAGGATCTTGCGCACACTCGCACACCTACCTGGCATGAGATTTAAGCCGCCAGGTCTTGGACTCAAACCACGGTCGACTTCTTGAGAATCCAGTGACATAACCATCACACCCTCTTTCTCTTCTTTTCTTTTCTTTTTTTTTAACTTGCCAGTTTACTTGCCAAAGAGAGAGAGATGTCACAATTTCTTCTCCTCCATTTCTCCATCTTGCTGGGATTTGAGGCTTACACATACATACATGGGCATGTTTTCACAATCTGCAGGAGCCGGGACTTGAACCATAAGTGGCCATGTAGGATCTGGCTCTCTCAACCACTAGGCTATTTAGGTGTCCCTTATTGTCTGTATTTCACTTTTGATAATTAACCCTGCAGTGTTCTTTTTTATATAACATGTGTTTTTCCCCTCCAGTATGAGTTTCATGTTAAGGATCACATTTTCTTTCAATTATGATTCATTTTTCAATGCTAGATTGATTGAACTGATCCAACATTAAAAGAAAATAAAATGTGGCTGTATGTAAAGATCAACTGAGACCACTGTCACTTTTGTTTATCTATCATGCCCTGTCTCATAAAGTCATTTTAAAATAGGAGAGACTCCCTCTATGTTGCTTCAAGTAATGGAAATAGGAAGAAAGTTTTCTTTCGTACTTTATAGAAATTTTTCTTCAGTGTATTCTGATATGTAATCTGGGGCCTGTGTAATAAATTAAATCTTTTTTGCTATAGGGCATGTGTGCTTGCTTGAGAGACAGACAGAAAACAAGAAACCCGGGGGAGATGGCCACACTGCAGTTCCTTCTCTTCCATTCTCCTCTCAGGATTTTTGGTACACATGCACACTTGCTCAGTGTGAGCCTTAAGCCCCCAGGTCTGGGACTCAAACTGTGGTCGACCACATGGAGTACAGCAATGTAACCATTACACCATCTGCTGGTCCCCCGGTGAAATCATTATAATAAGTTACATTTTTGTGGCATTGTCCTTTTCTATAGTCATTGAAGATCAGTGTGTGTTTGAAAGGTAGCCCATTTGTGTATTAGAGGATATATTAAATATAAAATTTGAGTATGAGTAAATGTACATTATCTTGAGTTTTGAAAGAACAGTAAAAAGATTAACTTTCATTTGTATCTTTAAAGTTTGGATACAAACTGTTGGCTGGTGGTTAATGTGGCTGGGGTCCTACCTGACTGACTGCTTGGTTCAAGTCCCAGACTCAATGGCCTTGAAAAACATGAGGGTATGGGACCAGCAGATGGCATAATGGGTACATTGTTGGACCCCCACGTAGTCGACCGCAGTTCATGTCCCAAACCTGGCTGTTGGAAACAGCTCTGAGTGTGTGTGCGTACATGCCCAAGATCCCAAGAGGAGTATGGAGGAGAAGTGATTGTGGCATGGCTATTCCCTCTTGGGAGTGATTTCTTGCTTTCTGTCTATCTCTCTCTGTTTCACTGGTGAGCGCACGCACACTATAGCAAAAAAGAGAAAAATAAAAAAACATGTGGGTGCATGTGTGTGTGCATGCATGCCCAAAATATTGAGAGAAGGGATTACAGTGTGGCATCTCCTCGCGGGCTGCTTTTTCTTTAAAAAAGAATTTTAGAGTTTATTTTATTTTATTTGTTATTATTTGTTTTTTAATGGACCAATTAGAGAGAGACAGAGAGAGAGAAAGAGACAGTAAGAAAGTAAACTGACAGATCTGGAGCTTGAACCACGGTCAACCACTTGAGAGTCCAGTGCCTTAACCACCATACCGTCTGCCAGGGTTTGGGGAGGAGGCGGTATGCTGTTTTACTTTCCCTTTTTCCCCTCTCTCTTGGGCACACCTTTGAAAAATGATAATATCAACTTCAGTATAGTTCCTTTCTACACTTTTTTGCATTTCTCATTTCTAAGGTTTTTGTATGTAATTTTAATTATTGACATAATATTTCATATCATAGCCAGTAAATACAATACTTGTAGTAATTCTGTTAGACAATGTGGAATGAAGAGGGTTTGGGGCAACCTAGACCTTTGGCCAGCGGTCTGTTTTTCTGATCTGTGCTCAGTTGATACTGTTGCTTTGAGCAGGATTTGGAGCAGCAAATCCTTCTAAGGACTAGCCATCTTAACTTTATTCCTAGATCCTCAGCTACATTGTATACAATCATTACTTGTTTCAGATTAGACTGTTTACAAGAGGAGTCAGGTGAGAAAATTTAGGTCACTGGCACCTCATCCTGGTGCTAGAAATGCAACTTGACAGATAATGTGCCATGATTCGTGAAACCTGCTGCATTCATTCCTCTTATCTCTTTCCTCAAATTTTATTTTGTTAATTGTCCTATAGAGAGGTTTTCTTCTTTTTATTTCATTATTTAAGAAAATTAAAAAAAATTTTTTTTAGAGGTTTTTGCTATAGGGTGCGTGCACTCGCCAGACAGACAGAGAGATAAAGTGAGAAATCACCCCCAAGAGGGGATGGCCATGCCGAAATCCCTTCTCCATTCTCTTCTCGGGATCTTGGGCACGCACGCACAAGTACCCGGCTTGAGTTTTAAGCCACCAGGTCCGGGACGCGAACCGTGGTCAACTACGTGGGAGTCCAGTGACATAGCCATTACGCTAACTGCTGGTCCCATGGTTTTTTTCTTTTTTAAAGTGTATTTATCCATGAGCAAGATAGGTGGTCGGCAGGCATTAACCCTACAGGGTTGTGATACTGAACTCGACTCCCAGCCTCAGCCAGCCTGGGGTCTTGGGCATGCCCTCGTCAGAGTACTCTTAGGTCCCCAGAGGAACCGGGAGCCCTTCCGTGTGAGTCTGCCTCACAGTGTTATGTTTTATTGCTGTGCCACTGTTCAGCCTCCTATTCTGTAGTGATCAACCTAGATTTTGATGATTGTATCCCAGTGCCGTAATACATCCTCTGTATTTTCATAAATTTGTAGAATGATTTTTAAATGTAGTCTAAATTGTACAGTGTTCTTGCCAGCACCATCTGGTTGTCATATTGTGTCTGCCATTTTATGTTGCCTGAATTTTATTAAATTGTTAGTGTCTTGGCCCATTCTTGTCTTTCCTGATTTGAGTATTTGTAAATAAGCCTCTTCATTGGACGGGTGTTTGCTTAGTGGTTGTGAATAACTTTATTTCACCTTTGTGTAGTAAAGGCTGTGTATCTGGTTTGAAACCAGCTTCTGTTGAAAGATAACAAAATCACTGGTTCTCTTTTTATTTCTGATCATTCTTGACTGTTAAGCTTTAAAAGAAGCCCTGACATTTCCATTAGTTCCATTTTATCTTTGTAACTTCAGTTTCCCTAGCATTGATTAACTTAACCATTTGTTTCTGAAATCTGTTTCTATGAAATAAATTTGAAGTCCTCAAATAAATTATGTGTGATTATAGTTTATAATTAGAAAAACTTAAACCATTTTACTATATGATAGAGATTTGCTATTTTTACTATTTAAATTTCAGAAATGAATAATTAATTTTCTTCCTACACTACCATTTCTACTTTAAATTTAAAAATTAACTTACTGTGGGGCTGACAGGTGGCATAGTGATTGAGGTGCTGGACTCCCGCATGGCCAACTATGGTTCAAGTCCCAGACCTGGTGGCTTCCTTTCTCACTCTCTTTTTTCTGGTCAATTTTTAAAAAAAGGATAATAATGATAATAAAAAAAATATATTAAAAAAAATTAACATGCTGCTTATGGGACCAGCAGATGGTATAATGGTTATGTTGCTGGACTCCCACATAATTGACCACAGTTTGAATCCTGGACCTGGTGACTGAAAACTCAGGCCAGAAACCCAAGAGGAGAATGGAGAAGGGATTGCAGCATGACCATCCTCCCTGTGGGGTGATTTCACATTTTCTGTTTCTCTGCCTCTCTGGTGAGTGCAGGCACCTTATAGCAAAAATCCCTCACTCAAAAAAAAAAAAAAATTAACATACTGTTTGTTAAAGTAATATGAGTGTCTTTTTAAATTTTTCTTATTGCCTAATTCTTTTGGAAGTGATTTGACTTTAGTACTTTAGTGTATTTGTGTACTCTCTCTTGCCAGAATGTTTATTAGGTAGACGTTTTATAATTTATAAAAAAAATTCTTAGTTCTAATTAATGCTTTCATTATAGGTATTTCAGGAGCCAGTGGAAGAAGAACGAGATGGCAGAAAAAAGAAATATCCTAGTCCCCAAAAGACTCGTTCAGAATCTAGTGAACGAAGGTTGGTGTTTTTCTTTAATTAGGAAGACAGTGATAACTCACTTTAAAGTTTCCTTGCAAGGGCACTAATGGGCTTTTTGACATAGGTACACTCTTCTCTCTTTATTCCTTTCATTCTTTCACCTTCCTTCCTTTCATTTTGTGTTTTTTACCTTTGTCTTACTTTCTGTTCTTTTTATAAACAATAATCATTATGTGCTTTCCCCAAGAGCTCAGGGGTGGGAGCAATCTCCTTAGAGAATATTAATGAAATGTTCCATTTGGTTAGGGGTGCTCAGTATTAAATATCACCCATGTTATTTTACGTTTTAAGTAGTGCAATTTGCGTGTTGACTCACTAACTTACCATCAAAAAATTGTTTTTTATTTATGAAAACTTGGTTTCGAGTCTCTTTTATTTCCTGGTTCTAAATTTCTATTTTTCTCCCACCCCTCTCTCCTCTCCATATTTTGGATTGACCTTTTTTTTTCACTTCTCCCCACCCAGTATACTTGAAGTGGGAATATTTTTTTCCTTTTTATGTAATGGATTAGCAAAATTATGTACAGGTCTTACAACTTTCTACAGAAGTGTAGACGTTATGAGTTTTAATGACACAAGGATAATATTTCATAATATAGATTTATTTGCAGACTTGGTTTCTATATCCTACATATGGCTTTTATATCTGTGTATTATAGGACACGTGAGAAAAAAAGGGAAGACGGCAAGTGGAGAGACTATGACCGGTACTATGAGCGGAATGAATTGTACCGTGAGAAGTATGACTGGAGAAGAGGCAGGAGTAAGAGCCGGAGTAAAAGCCGAGGCCTGAGTCGTAGTCGAAGCCGAAGTAGGGGCCGGAGCAAAGACCGGGATCCAAATAGGAATGTGGGTGAGTGAATGAAGTGTCCCCCTAAGAAGTTAGTAGCTACTTATCTTCCTGTGTCACAGGGATGAGAGAAATTCCCTTAAAGATAAGTATACCTTTAACATGTCTAAGCAATGTAAAAACTAGAATTGTCTCAAAAAACTTTTGAGTTTGTTACAAAGATGAAACTCTTCTAGGAATGCAGTTAAAGGAGTTTGACTAAAAAGAAGCTATTCATAAATGTGTCATAGTACATGTGTAGACATAAGTCATTTTGTATAATTGATGGAAATGTCCTTTAATCAACACAGCTATAACTCCAGGAGGAGTGACTGCTCGTTTGTTTTTAAGCAGTTGATATGTTGCAAGGTTGTCCAAAGTTTATAAAAATTTAGAGGAAGGAATTTAAGTAAATTACTAGGATTCAACCACTGATCTCTTGAAATACAAGTTTGAGTAACATTCTTTTTAAATGTCAGAGGAGAAGCTGACCTTTTTTGAATTAAGTATAATTGATATTGATACAAAAGATAATCTTGCCCAGGCTACTGATCAAGGTGCATCATATAGTTGATGTTCCTGCTTTTAAAATATATTAAGGAGAACGCTTTGAAATATGAATAGCTTAGTACATTTACTGCTGCGTGCACTTTCACATTGTGTGAGAAAATAAACATAGTTTAAGAGGCTACATGTCTAATCTCTCTTCTTGTTTTTATTTGTCTCTAAAGCAGAGCACAGGGAAAGATCCAAGTTTAAGAGTGAAAGGAATGACTTGGAGAGCTCATATGTGCCTGTGTCTGCACCACCCCCGAACTCTTCTGAGCAGTACTCCTCTGGGGCACAGTCTATTCCCAGCACTGTTACTGTGATCGCACCTGCTCACCACTCTGAAAACACAACCGAGAGTTGGTCTAATTACTATAACAATCATAGCTCTTCCAATTCTTTTGGTCGAAACCCACCACCAAAGAGGCGATGCAGAGATTATGATGGTAAAAACCACTACCTTCTCTTATATTTTACCCAAAAGTACTAATACGGCCACTGTTAAATGTGTTGCAGACCTTCTAATTACAGTCCAGATGTTGTTGCAAAGTCTACATGGGGAGGGAATCTCTTTGCATGTTACTTACTTGTTTGACATGGTAGTTTGGCTCTTGTCAAGAGAATATTCAATTTGATCCTTTTTAGTTTGTTTTTTTGTTCTTAGTGTTACTTTCAAGCACTATCAGTATGCTATAAAATTTGGTAGACATTAGGAATTATTTCTTTGTGTAATGTTTGGTGTTGGGGAATTTGTTAAAGCATTTATAACCTACTTACAATTTTTTTTTTTTTTTAATTATTTTTGGAGAGGGTTTTTTGCTATAAGGCACATGCGCTTGCCAGAGAGACAGAAAGTCAGAAATCACCCCGCAGGGGGGATGGCTATGCCTCAGTCCCTTCTCCTCCATTCTCCTCTTGGGATCTTGGGCATGCATGCACGCACACACATGCGCCCGGCGTGAGTTTTGTTTTTTTTTTAATAATTATTTATTTTATTTCATTCATTCATTCATTCATTTACTTTTTAGATTTACCAGAGGAGAGACAAAGGGTGAGAGAGAGAGAGAGGAAGTGAGAAAGCAAGCCACCAGATTCAGGACTCAAACCCTGGTCAGCCATGTGGGAGTGTCCAGCGCCTGAACCACCATGGCACCTGCTGGTTCCCCACCCCACCCCGCATGAGTTTAAGCTACCGGGTCCAGGACTCGAACCGTGGTCGACTACATGGGAGTTCAGGGACATAGCCATTACGCTAACTGCTAGTCCCATAGGTTTGATTTGCTGATGTGTGTATTTGATTTTTCATTATGGAAATCGTCAGAAAAATCATGACACATTTTTACATAGAAAGACAAAAAATGTGTTACTACTTTTTAAACAACCCAATTTTAAATATATATAAATGTTGACAAAATAATATAATTAGCCCCATTATATCCATTGCTTTGTTTCAGTAGTTACACCTCAGGGATAATCTTGCTTTTTTGTTTGTTTGCTTGTTTCCGTCTATTTTTCATGAGAGTTAGAAATAGGTACCCTGGGACTAGCAGTTAGCGTAATGGCTGTGTCGCTGGACTCCCACGTAGTCGACTGCGGTTTGCGTCCCGGACCCGGTGGCTTAAAACTCACGCTGGGCACGTGTGCGTGCATGCCCAAGATCCCGAGGGGAGAATGGAGTAGAAGGGATTGCGACGTGACCATCCCCCCGGGGGGTGATTTCTCGCTTTCTATCTCTGTCTGGTGAGCACACACGCCCTATAGCGAAAATCTCTCAAAAAAAAAAAAAAAAAAAAGAAAAAAAAGAAATAGGTACCCTGATATACCGTCACCATTTCACGATCCCACGGATGCCTAGCATGTTCAGATTAAACCAGGATCTGAACCTGGGCCTCCTATATGACTCTAGTGGAGCCTTCTTGCTGGTACCACAGGATGACCTAATTTGATTTTTATCTCTACTCCCAACCATTTCTCTCTGAATTATTTTAAACAAATCACAGACATTGTAACAGGTTTTTTCTGTACATATAGAATGCCACATTTTTACATATTATTTATTTATTTAAAAATATTTTTTGATAATTATTTATTTAATTTTATTTATTCATTCATTTATTTCAATTTGACCAGAGAGATACACAGAGAGAGAGAGAGGGAAAGTGAGAAAGCAAGCCACCAGGTCTGGTACTCGAATTGTGGTCGGCCATGTGGGAGTGTCCAGCATCTTAACCTCCAAGCCACCTGCTGGTCCCTATTATTTATTTTTAAGTGGGAACCTAGAGTCAAATCATAATTTAGATATTACATCATTCTCACCTTTGTCTCTCAGCCAGAGTTCTCCTTCTGAAGGTCAATTTGATCTTAACAATTTTTGTGTATCTTAGCAGACATAGTCTATGCATATGTACATAGACAAATACATATTCATATTCTCCCCAATTTATGTACATAAACAAATACATATATATATTTTCCCCAACTTTTTTTTTTAACATAAGTGCTAGTATACATTTATACTTCTATATAATGTTTTTGTCACATACTTGTATTGTGTTCTTGCAGTCATCCTATATTAACACATAAAGAGCTTCCTTAATTTTCTTTTTTTTAGGTTTCTTGGTATTTGGTATGTACAAAGATGTGTTTAGCTTTTTTTTTTTTTTTTTTTTTTAAGAGGTTTTGCCTTAGGGCATGTATACTTGCATGGGATGGGGGGAAGGCAATGAGAAGGAAAGCGAGAAGTCCCGCCTCTGGGGGGATGGCCATGCCACAGTCCCCTTTCCTCCGTTCTCCTCCTGGGATCTTGGGCACAGATACACATGTGCCAGATATAATCTTCAAGCCACTCGGTCTGGGACTCGAACCACAGTTGGCCATATGGGAGTCCAGTGACATAACTGCTAAGCCATCAGCTGGCACCTAACTAATTTCTTAATTGATATACATTTGGGATGTTGCTGATATTTTTCTATTATAAAAAGTGGCCATGAATAAACTAATACTCAATACCCGCTGAACTTTAAAGTTTCAATTTCCAGATGTAGTAAAAATGGTTGCTTTCAAATGAGACTAGATCATTGAGATTAACATTCTCATCCAAGACCCTTATCTCCTCTGCCCATTTAAAATAATCTGAGTTTTTATTATAAAAACTAGTATAAAGTAGGTTAACCAAATAGTAACTAATAGCCTGTTCTTGACCCTGTTATTTGCAGTCTCTCCAATTTATAGTCTCCTAGTGTAGAAAGTAGAGAATTCACCTGCCTCTACCTTAGGGATATGGGATGATTAATACAATAACACTAAAAAGGCTTTAGATTCCTTGGAGAAAACTGCTTTGTAAGTCAGATTGGTGGGTTTTGAGGGACTTTGTTTTCTAAACTCTTAAGTAGATCATATTAAGTTGTTTTTTGTTTTGTTTTTTAATTCTTACAGAAAGAGGATTTTGTGTCCTTGGTGACCTTTGTCAGTTTGATCATGGAAATGATCCCCTGGTGGTTGATGAAGTTGCTCTGCCAAGTATGATTCCTTTCCCACCCCCTCCACCTGGGCTTCCTCCTCCACCACCTCCTGGAATGTTAATGCCTCCAATGCCGGGCCCAGGCCCTGGCCCCGGCCCTGGTCCAGGCCCAGGCCCTGGCCCTGGCCCTGGCCCTGGCCATAGTATGCGACTTCCTGTTCCCCAAGGACATGGTCAGCCTCCACCTTCTGTTGTGCTTCCCATACCAAGTAAGTATATGTAGAATCTTTCCTTAGTGGAGAATTCTATTTAGAAGAACTTTATTCATTTTCACAACTTGACATTCTGCTGTTCTTTCCTTCCTTTGTTTTTTCTTTTTAAACGAGAGGGAATGCAAGTGAGTGTGGGAGAGAAAAAAAGAGGGAGGGGGAGAGGTGGAGGGAGAGACGGGGGGGGGGATTTTTTTTTTTGAGTGGTTTTTGCTATAGGGTGCATACGCTCACCAGAAAGAGAGAGAGAGAGAGACAGAGAGATAGAAAGCGAGAAATTACCTCCCGGGGGGAATGGCCACGCCACAATCCCTTCTCCTCTATTCTCCTCTTGGGATCTTGGTCACGTAAGCATATGTGTGAGTTTAAGTCACCGGGTCCGGGACTCGAACCGTGGTCGACTATGTGGGAGTCCAGCGACATAGCCATTACGCCAACTGCTGGTCCCAAGGGGGGAAAGATTTTTGACAGGGTCTTGCTACTTTGTGATCTTCCTGCTCCTGCCTCCTGGTTAGCTAGGACCACTGGTTTGTCACTACACACTGTCTGTTACGGTTGGGCCGAGAACCAAACTGGGGCCTTCCATGTAGCCTCAGCCACTGTTTTAGCAGTGCCTCCCCACTTGTGTCCCCCTAGCTGGGCCTATTCTTTCCTCTTTCTACCCAGTGTTGCATGTTATTTGTGTTTACCTCCCATGGAAATTTTATGTATAGTAGCCTATGCTGACCTGTAGTCAAAATCTAGTGAGTTGATAGAAATCCAGCTTTTTAAGATGTCAGAGAAGGAGCATACCAGTAGTTTGAAATTTCCCAATCTTTTAAAGAAAATATTACCAAAAATAATATTTAAAAATTTTTATTAATTACAGAAATTAATAAAAATTCAGACATGTGTAGAAGTATAAAAATAACAGATGTGTCGTTTACACCATCCTCCAACTTTTGTTATTGTCAGTATTCAGCTTTTGTGTCACTTAGTCACCTCTTGGTTCAGATAGTTTTTGGTTGTTTTGGACGTTTTGGGGGGACTAGCAGATGGCATAGCAGTTATGTCTCTGGACTTTCCACATGGCTGATTGCAGTTCAAGTCCCAGACCCAGTGACTTGAAAAGCATTCCAGGCACATGTGCGTACATGCGTGCCCAACATCTGGGAGGAGAATGGAGAAGAGATTGCAGCATGGCTCTCTCCCTGGGGGTTGGGGGTGATTTCTCACTTTCTCTATCACTCACTCTGTCTCGCTCTCTCCAGCTAGTGTACATGCCCTAAGGCAAAAACCTCTAAAGAAAAAAGAAAACTGGGAACCAGCAGTTAGCGTAATAGCTATGTCGCTGGACTCCTACATAGTCAACCGCAGTTCACGTCCCAGACCCGGTGGCTTAAAACTCATGCCAGGCGCGTGTGCGTGCGTGCCCAAGATCCCGAGAGGAGAATGGAGGAGAAGGGATTGCGGCGTGACCATCCCCCCTGGGGGGTGATTTCTCGCTTTCTGTCTTTCTGTCTGGCGAGCGCACGCGCCCTATAGTGAAAACCTCTCCAAAAGAAAAAGAAAACTCACACACTGTTTTCGATTGTTTGGGGTTTTTGACTGGAGTAAATCTCAAGTGTCATATAATTTCACCAGTATGTATTTGAATATGAATATTTTTACTGTTAAGTACTTTTTTTTTTAAGTAGGCAATATGCCATTTTTATACCCATCAAAATTAATAGGAAAAAATGTTTCAAAATGATCCTGTTAAAGACTATTTGAGGCTTGGTGGTGGCACAGTGGTAAAATGTGACATTTTGTAAGGGAGACCCATATGAAAAGATTCTAGATTTGTTTCTGGAGACCTCTCTAAATGAATAAATTTTAAAAAAATGATTAGTTGCTAATATAGCAGAACAAGAGTAGGACTAAAATTTAAAAATATAATTGAAAAAATTGGAATGAATGTTTACATGTATTGTAAAGATAAAAGAAAATATCTACTACCCAAGGGCCCTTCCTCAGTGGTTAAGCCCTGTGCATAGAAAGCTGGTAGTTCAAATCTTGGCATTGGAAGCTTAAGAAACACATCTGGTGCCTGTTCGTGCATACCCAAAGTCCTGACGGGATAGAAAAATGCAGGTAAAAAGGATCGTGTCATGATCTGATTCCATTGGAGAAGTGCACATCTCCCATCCTGATAGTGCACAAACTCTCTGGTAATTAAAAATAAAAGCATCTTTAATTTATGTAGAAATTTCTAATAATAATGTGTTATCGTGGTATGAAAACGTAACTGAATGAAAGTTAGCTCCAGAAATGTCATTTCCCTAAAAATTTTGCTATAAAAAATTTTAAGCAAACGAGAGTTGAAAGAATTGTACCCATATACTCACTATCTATTAATAGGTTCTACAACTAGAATTTCACAAATTTACATTTTCATGTATCTTTCCATCTCCTTCATTTTTATTTTTGATGCTTTTCACAATATGTTACAGACATCTGTATGCTTACCATTTTAAGTTAAGAGTTCTGTAGAACTTTACCATCACCCCAGAAAGGTTCCTCAAGTGCTCTCCCCAACCACTTTGCACTGCCACAAGAGGCAGTCAGCACTGCCTTTTTCTCCTGGGACTAAGTTATGCCTTTTCTAGAATAAGAATGCCATATTTAATTGATTATACAATTCACAGTGCTTAAGCCTGCATATGTCAAATTCCTTAGTTATGTTCAAACTAAAGTAGGATTTTTAAAGTATGAATAGCCAAATTATACTAGTGTAGTGAGTATTTTTGTTAGAAATAATGCTGTACTTTTCACTTTCTGTTAACTATAGGACCACCCATAACCCAGTCAAGCTTGATAAACAGTCGTGATCAGCCGGGGTCAAGTGCAGTGCCCAATCTTGCACCAGTGGGAGCAAGACTACCTCCTCCTTTACCCCAGAACCTCCTTTATACAGTATCAGAACGTAAGTAAATATCATTTGACTGGTGTTTTTTTTTTTTTTTCCAATCAATATTAACCCTTCAAAAAATGTAATTAATTTTCATTTTTATGGGCTGTGTAACTCTAAAATTTCTATTTGTAGTCACAGTGGGATTTACTGTGTGATTATTGCAATATAGCATTACTTGAATGTTATGTGATATAGGAGAGAAAGAAAAAGCTTATATTTCAGAGAAGTCTACTCTGTTGTAGAGTAATAACTTCTAGTCTCTTCTAAAGGAAATTTATTTTGAAGCTTGTGCTTAAAAAATTGCTTCTCTGATTGAATTTCTAAAACATAAGGCTGAAGAGGTATACAGAAGGGTAAAAATCTGCTTCATCATTTAATTGTATGCCGAAGTGAAGATAGAGAGCATCATTTAAATTGTATGTTTAGTGTTTAAATTACTTACAATATTTGCATTTAATTTAACACATTTTTCTTGAATCCTAATTCTGTTATTTCTTGAGTGCTTTTATTATAGTTCGCTAAGACTTTTTTAAAAATTCCTGTCTCCAAAAATAAAAAGAAAGGTAGTTAGATGTTAAAAATGACAGATTATGGGACTAGCCAATAGCATAATGGTTAAGGTAGCTAGATCCCATGTGGCCAACTGCAAGGTTTGAGCCCTGGACACAGCAGCTTGATGAACACTCTGGGTGTGTGTGCATATGTGCCCAAAATCCTGAGAGGAGAAAGGAGTAGGGATTGTGGTGTGGCCATCCCCTCAGGTGTGGGGTGACGGAGGATGCATGGTTTTTTGTCTCTCTTTCTGGTGAGTGCACACACCCTATAGCAGAACTTAAAGAAAAAAAAAAGTGATACTTTTCTCTGCAGAGCCAGGTAACTTTATGAATATGTTTGCTCATTTTTTAATTTTGTGAGAGGGAGCATGTGCTCACTGGAGAGAGACACTGTGGGTGTTTGGGGGTCAGAAGCATCTAAATACTTGGGGAACGTAAACTCCTGTAGTACTAAAAAGCATTTATTATGAAATGACATATGCATGTTATATAGGTCTACTTTTAGATTTTTTTTTCTGTATATACATCTTGCTTTCACATGAACATCCTCAGAACAGAATCACATCAGGTACTGAAGTAATTGTCCATTTCATTCCATAGTTAGTGTTTCACAATCTACTGATTCTGTAGTGTCTTCTCAGAGGATATGCTTGTTTTGTTGCTACCCTCATTTTTTAATTATGGGAAATCAATATACATCAAATTATTGTTTAATTATATGTAATTAAGATATATATTTAACATATAAAATAGCATATATGTAAAAGCAGATAAAAATGAATTCCTTTGTACCTAGTATGATAAGATCCCATGTACCCATCACCTAGCTTTAATATTAATCTGCTTGTGGTTAATCCTTTTTCATGTATTCTCCCTGAATCAACTCTGAGGATTATTTCTGAATGCCTTTTAGACGTAGAAATATGAAAACCTGGATTATTTATCTTAGAGTCTATTTCCAGATGATTTATTTTTGTACTGTTAAATTCAGTATAAATTTGTGGGACCAGCAGCAGATGGCATAATGGTTACATTGCTGGATTCCTACATAGTTGACAGGTTTGAGTTTTGGACCAGTGGCTTAAAACTCACGCTGGGATGGGGTCAGCAGGTGGTGTAGTGGCTAAAGGCACTGGATTCCCACATGACGGACCACAGTTTGACTCCCAGACCTGGTAGCTTGCTTTCTGACACCTCCCAATCAAACCGGAAAATAATAATAAATAAAGTGGAAGAAAAAATAATTCTTAAAATAAAAAAAACGAAACAAAAAAACCCTCATCCTAGGCACGTGTGTGTGCATGCCCAAACTCCTGAGAGGAGAATGGAGGAGAAGAGATTGCGGCATAGCTTTTGTCAAGCTAAAAATGTCAAAGAAAGGGCCAGCTGGTGGGACCAGCAGATGGCATAATGGCTATGTTGCTGGACTCCCATGTAGTCAACCGCAGTTTGAATCCTGGACCCAGTGGCTTAAACTCACGCCGAGTGCGTGTGTGTGCGTGCCCAAGATCCTGAGAAGAGAATGGAGGAGAAGGGATTGTGGCGTGGCCATCCCTCCTGGGGGTGCTTTCTCGCTTCCTGTCTGCCTCTCTGTCTTTCTGGCAAGTGCACATGCCCTATAACAAAAACCTCTCCAAAATAAAAGTAAAATAAAGAGCCAGCTGGTAGTGTGGTGAAGGCAGCTGGATCCCACATGGTTGACGGAAGGGTTTGAGTACCAGACCTGGCAGTATGGACAAACATGCCAGGCACATGTACATGCATGTCCAAACTCCTGAGAGGAGAATGGAGGAGCGATTGTTAAACTTCTCACTTTCTCTCTCCCTCCTCAATTTCTCTCTCTCACTTTCTCTCTCCCTCTTACTTTCTCTCTCTCGCTTTCTCTCTTTCTCTTTCTTTCTCCCCTTCTCTCTCTCTCTCCCTCTCTCTTCTTTCCAGGGAGCACACATGCCTTATAGCAAACTTAAGAAAATGTCATAGAGATCCTCTATGAAATGTAATTGGAATTTTATGAAAGATGTCACTGGGGCTGGCAAGTGATACGGTGGTGAGGTGCTGGACTCCCACATGGCTGACCATGATCTGAGTCCCGGGTCTGGTGGCTTGCTTTTTCACTTCCTCTCTCTCTCTCTGGTCAAATAAAAAATAAAAATAATAATTATTATTATGTATTTTTAAGGGCGTTACCACACACCTGTTAAAATATTCCTGCGAAACTATTCAAATATTTTACCCAAATTTGAAGTCACCAATTTAGTGTGGTGTTTGTTTGTTTGTTTGTTTTTGTATTTGCACTCGCTGGAGAAAAAGAGAGAGAAGGAAAGTGAGAATTCACCCCGGCTGGGGAGGAATGATCATGCCACAGCCCCTTTTCCATTCTCCTCTTGGGATTCAGGGCACTCAAGCATATGTGCCCAGCGTAATTTTCAAGCTGCCTAGTCCAGTACTTGGACTTCAGTCACCCATGTGGGGACCATGCCACCTGCTGGCTCTTGTTTTTGGTTTTTATGTCTTACATTTGTCTATTTCTTTGGCTTCTTTATAGAAAAGATAGTAGAATTATTTCATAACTGCTAACTAATCTCATTGTACTGGATATGTGACAGAGTAAGACTAGTATATAATATCCTGGATTCTAGAGACTAATTCTTTTTAATTCTTTTCTTTTCTTTTTCTTTCTTTTTTTTTTTTTTTTTTTTTTTAAAGAGAGATTTTTCACTGTTGGGGCATGTGCAGTCACTGGAGAGAGAGAAAAAAAGACAGAAAGTGAGAAATCACCCCCAAGTGGGTGTTGGCCACACCACAATCCTTTCTCCTTCATTCTCTTCTCGGCATTTGGGGCACGTAGACACACATGCCCGGCATGAGTTTCAAGCTGATGGATCTGGTACTTGAACCATGGTCAGCCATGTGGGTGTCCAGTGCCTTAACCTGCTGGCCCCAAGACTGATTCTTAAGCTGAAGGCAGTTATCTTTTGTCAAATGAATTCACGTAAATAAATATGTTTTAGAAAATACTTCTTGGCTTTAAGTTTTAAGCAAAGTTCTTTAGCATTTCTTTGATTTATTAAAGCTAAAACTGCTTTTCTTGAAATTACCAGCTGAACTTGCTATTGAAAGTAGTTAGATTACTTAAGAAATTGTGTGATTGATAAAATGATAAAAGGAATGGAAGACAACTGTAGACACCAGAGATAGTGTGAGAAGAGGGTGGGAAAGGGCAGAGGGTCAGAAATATGGGTAAAGGGGAACCAGCAGTTAGCGTAATGGCTATGTTGCTGGGCTCCCACGTAGTCGATCATGGTTCGTGTCCCTGACCCGGTGGCTTAAAACTCACGCCGGGCGCATGTGCATGCATGCCCAAGATCCCGAGAGGAGAATGAGGAGAAGGGATTGCAGCGTGACCATCCCCCCTGGGGGGTGATTTCTCACTTTCTGTCTCTATGTCTCTCTCTTTGTCTGTCTGGTGAGCGCACACGCCCTACAGCGAAAATCTCTCAAAAAAAAAAAAAGAAATATGGGTAAAAAAAAAATACATATGTGTGAAACTAGAAATGGAAAATTATTTTATTTATTTATTTTTTTAGAGGTTTTTGCTATAGGGTGTGTGTGCTTGCCCAAAAGACAGAGACAGAAAGTGAGAAATCACCCCCCAGGGGGGATGGTCACGCTGCAATCCCTTCTCCTCATTCTCCTCTCGGGATCTTGGGCATGCATGCACATGCGCCTGGCGTGAGTTTAAGCCACCGGGTCTGGGACTCGAACTGTAGTCGACTACATGGGAGTCCAGCGACATAGCCAGTAAGCTAACTGCTGATCCCAAAATGGAAAATTATTGACAATTACATGCATGATTAAGCCACCACGCAGCATATTCTGGATGGCAAATCACATTTTGTATGCTGTGACGATGCTTAGGGAATGAATGTAAATTAATTAATTTAACAAAAATGTTTCAGAAACAAAAAACTAAAACTGTTTTTCTTGAAATTAAAAAAATGCATTAAAAATAAAAAAGAAATTACTTTCCTATTGGTAACTATATAAATGTATTAAAGCACTTTGTATCTAAACTTGATATTTGCTCATTTATTCAATAATTCAGTGGAATGTGTAACACTTTTTTTTTTTTTTGTGAGAGGTTTTTGCTATAGGGTGCATGCGCTCACCAGACAGACAGAGACAGACAGAAAGTGGAATGTGTAACACTTTTTTTTTTTTTGTGAGAGGTTTTTGCTATAGGGCGCATGTGCTCACACGACAGACAGACAGACAGAAAGCGAGAAATCACCCCCCAGGGGGGATGGTCACACCGCAATCCCTTCTCCTCCACTCTCCTCTCGGGATCTTGGGCACGCACACACATGCGCCCGGCGTGAGTTTAAGCCACCGGGTCAGGGACTCGAACCGTGGTCGACTACGTGGGAGTCCAGCGACATAGCCATTACACTAACTGCTGGTCCCAGTAACACTTCTTGATGTGGAGAAATTGGTTTGATGCTTACAGAAGTCAGTCAGTAATGAATAAGAGTCCTTTCATGTTGTCTAACCCCTTGCATTTTACTTTGATTCATGTTGAATTAGTTGTTATATTGTCCATTTCAACATATAGGCATTTATTTAAAGAAATACTTTTCAATTGGATATTTTAAGATTTCATCTTTTTTTTAGTGATTCTTTTTTTAAAAAAATTTTTATTTATTCATTCATTTATTTTTAATTTGACCAAAGAGAGACAGATTTAGAGAGAGAAGGTAAAGTGAGAAAGCAAGCCGCCAGGGCCGGGGACTCAAACTGTGGTCGGACATGTGGGATTGTCCAGCACCTTAGCCACCATGTCACATGCTGGTCCCTAAAGTGACTCTTTATTGAGTTGTCCCTATACTCTAGGCATGAGAGCAACTAATGTTGTGAATCTCCACGTATCTGTTTCTGGCTTCAACAACTATCAATGCATGTTTAGTCTTGCTTTGTATCTAACCCATTCCTGACTTTATTATTTTAGAACAAGGCCCAAACATAACATTTCACCTGTAAAAACTTAAATATATGCTTTGAAAGATAAGGATTGGACACATACACCAAATCACAATACTATTTTTGTATGCCCCTAAAAGTTGATAACAGTTTATTATTCTCAGATATCCATTGGCATTTATATTTCCCAATTGTATTAGAATGTCTTTTTTAGTTTATCATAGGACTCATGCGCTTGCCAGAGAGAACAAGAAAAAGCACCCTCCATGAGGAATGGTAATGCCACCATACATTCTCATCCATCTCTTCCTCCCCTCAGGATTTATAGGCATGCATACACAAGTGCCTGGTGTGTTTTTTGAGCCACTGTATCAGGGACTCAAACCACACAGTTAGCTCCTGGGACCCAGTTCACATAACCACCTGGCCTTAGGGTGTCACCATAATGTCTTTTTATGATTGGTTCATTTAAAGCTAGATCCAAACAAGATTACAGTTACATTTGGTTGATACATTTATTAAGTCTTTACATCTATTACAATTACCCGTTTAACCACCATGCCACCTGCTTACCCACTTGATCTGTCATTTTAAAAGTTGCTTATGGTTGGAGCCAGCCCATGGCCTGATAGTTAAGGAAGCTGGCTCCCATAAGGCAGACTGTGTAGTTCAAGTCCTAGACCTGGTAACTTGAAAAACACACTGGTTGTATGTGTGTGCATGCCCAAATCCTTAACAGATGAAATATGGAAGAAATTGGATTGAAGTGTGACCATGCCCCATAGAGGGTTCTTTGTCCACCTGCTTTCTCTGTCGCTGGCAAGCTTTTGTATCAATATAGCTGACAAATTAAAAAAAAAAAAATTGCTCATGGTTTCAATAGAGCCAGTTTGGGAACCAGCAGTTAGCGTAATGGCTATGTCGCTGGACTCCCATGTAGTCGACCGTGGTTCACGTCCCGGACCCGGTGGCTTAAAACTCACGCCGGGCACGTGTGCGTACGTGCCCAAGATCCCGAGAGGAGAATGGAGGAGAAGGGATTGCAGCGTGACCATCCCCCCTGGGGGGTGATTTCTCGCTTTCTGTCTCTATGTCTCTCTCTGTCTGTCTGGCGAGCGCACGCGCCCTATAGCGAAAAAACCTCTCCAAAAAAAAAAAAAAAATAGAGCCAGTTTTATTGTTTTATTTTGTTTTTTAAATAAATTTATATATTTCTTCCGAAAGAGAAAGGATAGAGAGGTGCACTCTTAACAGGTCTTCATGCCACAGTCCACGCCCAGCCTTAGCGCACCTCTTGTGTACTGGGTGGCCTTGGGAAGGAAACCTCCCATGTGGGGCCAGTTGGTTTTAACACAGATCCACCATCATGGCCCAGTAGCCAGTTTTGATTATTGCCTGGATCTGTTGTATCTTATGATTCTCTAATTTTATAATTTCTTCTACATTTACTACTGGCATTCTATAAAGTAAAACTTGGCAATAGTAATCATTTGGTTAACCTGAAAAACAGTTTTTACAAAAAGGGCACAATAAATACTTGTTGGGTCACCAGGTGGTGCAGAGATTAAGGTGGCTGAATCCCATGTGGCCAACTACGTGGTTCAAGTCTTGGAACCAGTGGCATGAAAAACATGCTGGGTGCGTGTGTGTGCATGTCCAAAAATTCCAAGAGGAGAATGGAAGAGAAGGCACTGTGGCATTACCATCCACCTCGTGGGGTGTTTTCTCACTTTCTCTCCCTCCCTATTCTCTCTCTATCTCTCTCCAGTAAGTGCATGTGCCCTATAGCAAAATAAATTTAAAAATACTTGTTTTCTTTCATTTATCAGTTTTCTGAATTAGTTATTTCCCTAGGGGACCATTATAAATTTTATTATTATTATTATTACAAACTGATAAATTTTTAATGTTTGATATATTTTATTCCACCACTGTCCTTTTTAATGTTCAAATTGTCTATCATCTTTTTACCTGTGGGAGCCTCTTTATGTTTTCTTCTGATGATTTTTTGTTTAATTTTGACATCCCTTCTAGAAGGACAAGGTGTGGAGACTTACCTTAGAAATTTTCTGCCCCTATCTTGAATCAACTCATTGTCTAAAGAACCCTAGTGCTTTTAGAAGTAGCACAGTAAGTGTTGTTTAATAAAAATCAGGCTTTGGGAACAGCAGATGGTGTGATGTTTATGTCACTGGACTCCCGCGTGTTCAACTGCAATTTGAGTCCCAGACCTGGCAGCTTAAAACTCATGACGGAGTATGTGTGCATGTGTGCCCAATAGCCTGGGAGGAGAATGGAGGAGTAGGGATTGCACTGTGGCTATCCCCCCGTGGAGTGATTTCTCGCTCGCTGTCTGTCTGTCTGTCTCTGTCTCTCTGGCAAGTGCACATGCCCTATAGCAAAAAATACACTTAAAAAAAAAAAGAAAAGAAAGAAATGAAAATTAGATTTTGAATAAAGTAATTTTTCTTAAGTTTGAATTACATGTTTGTTTTTTTTTATCATTGCTTTTAAAATAGACACTGTACAAATTAGCCTTTTAATTTCCAGTTAATTTTGGGACAGTTATTATTAACATGGTATTTTATTCTTGATAGATTGATTTATTATAAATTTAAAGTAGTCATATGGATTGATATTGTACTTCCTCCCCGTTTGTCTCTTTAGCACACTACTTCATTCTGCTGGTCAGTTCCTCTTCCTAAGAAGTGCCCTATAATAGGTCATGCTTATTATTTTCAGATCATTGAAGATATGTTAAATTGCAATATAATGATTGATCCTTTTCAAAAGTAAATTTTGAAAAAGTTGGTGCTAAGTGCAGTCATGTGGTCTGCTATTCGGGATGATTTGTCACCTCCTCTCTTGTTCCATGTACAGGAAGGGATGTGTAGTGATGTTTAGCATTGTCTATTTCCCCTCAGCATTTACTGTGAAACCATGTGTTTGCTCTGTAGCTTGTTTTGTTAAGGTACAACAAACATCAGTAGGAATTATATAGCTTTGAAGGACATTTCTCAAGCTGTAAAAAAGCATAAAATCTAAGTTCATTTCAGTTTGTTTTATGACACATAGTGAGTATTTGGTATATAAAATATTGACTAAGTCTTATAAAAATGTCTTCATGTGGGTTGTCACTAAATCAGATACTATTAAATTGACAGCCAACAGCAGGTTTTACTCCTTGATACTGTCTTTTACTAGTCCTGTTCTATGGAATTTGGCTTCATTATGTCTGCGTTCTTACATCAGTATATGTATTCACACTCTAAATGTGTTTTCACTCAGAATATCTGGGGTAATTTCATATGTCCAGTGCTGGTTTTTGTTTATCTGTATTTTTGTCTTATTTTTTCCTTTCTCTGTGTTGGTTATCTTATCTTTTTATGGGAGTGACGAATTTTATCTACCCTGTTTTGCTTTTGAATATTTCTTATTCTCTATGAAGGTATACTAGTGGCGGTTTGTTTTCTTTTAATTCCTTTATTATTATTTTTTCTTTTCCCAGATATGGGAGTGTATTTTACACAAACCTGAAATTATGGAGGGGGAGGTTGTGGCTATGACAACTTTCATAACTGTGTATCTCATTGGATATGTAATTTACGAGTAATAGGGTTTCTTTATGTAATAACTTGATATGGTTGATTATTCAGCTTTGGGTAAAATTAGACGTATTCTGTGTAAGTTGTAAAAGAATGGAGATTATACAGTCATACTATCTAATTCTTACGCTTTTTTTATACCTCAGTGCATCCTAACCAGTTGTATGTCTGTTCTTTCTTGGGTAGGAAAGAATCTCAGTAATACCTTTCTCAACTAGTCCTGTTGATATAATTTATCTGTCCTTGGCTCAGTCTCAGGAGGTACATCATTATCTAAGAGAAGCTTGTTACTCTCAATCCCAGCAGCCCTCCTATTCTTTCCTCTGCAGGACAGCCCATGTACTCTCGTGAACATGGTGCTGCTGCATCTGAGCGACTTCAGTTGGGGACACCACCTCCTCTGTTGGCAGCTCGTTTGGTGCCACCTCGCAACCTCATGGGATCCTCCATTGGGTACCATACCTCAGTCTCCAGCCCTACCCCTCTGGTCCCAGGTAAGCTTTGCTACACAGATGGCCATCCACCTCATTGATCTTTTGTACTTTAAGCTAGCTGGACTAAGAGGTGATCTGGCATCCTCACCTGCTGTTACAAATCCTATTAAAGCTCTTAGTTTTATTTTCTGTTTCTTTGCTTCTTTGGTTTATCCCTGGTGGCTGCTAGATGATTAGGCCTCCGGTGTGTGCGTCATCTCTAGTGTCCTTTGTATTTTCAGTGCCTCGGTAACAAAGCTATGCTGGTTCCATGAGCTACTTTCTAATCAGGTAGACAGGAAGAGAATGTTTACTTGAATGTATTTAATTAGGTATGCATTATAAAGAAAAAATAGGTCAATTTTTCTTTAAAATAAAGCAAAACAAAAACATCTGCTTTCTTACTAATCGTGGATGAACATGGCCTTTTTTTCCTTTTGGTACTTGTTAGATGGACTGGTCGTGTATAATGTAGTGATTCTTGAAAACTCTTCCCTCCCGTTCATATGACTGTTTTGAAGATCTGATAAGTGCTCTGTGGGTGTTTCATGAAGTTTTTAAACATTTCTTACTGTGCCTTTGAATCTCAGCTCATAAGTTTTAAGTGTATTGGAGTTCTGTGTCTCCTAGGAATTACAGAACAAGGTCATTTGATTCTGTAGTTTCTTTAAAACTTTCTGCAGCCTTATCTGTGGGAGATTTTCTGTCAAGAGTCTTAAGTAGAACTTTAGTCATGATTTGATCATTTTTTTAAGACAAAGCAGTGTGTATTTTGTGTCTTATATTGCATATAATTAATTTTTAGAGTTGATGCTTAAAAGTGTGGCAGTTGTTATTTTATATATAATCTTCAACTCATGTATCATACATAAACACATTTACTATCTTATTAGATATCCTTTTAAGCAAAGCATATGATAGCATATTATAGTATGTGTTTCCATCAAGGGGTACTGCTCACAAGTAAGTACTGTGGTCTTAAAAAGTATAGAGGAGGATTAGAGCAGAAATTGAAATAATTATGAGATGCAAAGAATACTCTTAGTTTAGCTCTCAGTATAGCTATCTAATAATTGAGGCAAAAGAGCCTATTTGGTTTCATTAAACACTATCAGGCACTTTGAGGTTGAATGCAAACCTTGTGGATGAAGTACACATTCCATAATAAGAGCATCATTGTGATAATAATTAGTTAAATTTCCTGAGCTGTCCCTTTCTGAGGACCCTGGTGATTAATTTTCAACATTGTTTAACATTTTATTAGAGGGAAAAAGGTGTTTTTAAAAAAAATTATTTAACTTTATTTATTCATTCATTTATTTTAATTTGACCAGAGAGGAACAGAATGGGGGGGGGAAGGAGTGAGAAAGCAAGCAGCCAGGTGTGGGGCTCCGATTATGGTTGGCCATGTGGGAGTCTAGCACCCTTAACCACTATGCCACCTGCTGGCCCCCACATTTTTTTTTTAACAATTATATCTAATTTTATTATTATTATTCAGTTTAACCAGAGAGAGAATGAGTGAGAAAGCAAGCTGCCAGGTCTGGGACTTGAACCGTGGTCAGCCATATGGGAATCCAGCTTAACCACCATGCTACCTGCTGGCCCTGGGAAACAGTTTTTAATCTATTGATGCTCTCTGTATAATTCCATGAGCTATTTTCAAAAGCAGAAAAAGGGAAAAAATGGAGGTGGCAGGGAGGCATAGGAGTGCTGACCAGGAGATCTAATTCAGATCCCAAATATAGGTTGAATATCCTTTATCAAAAATGCTTGGGACCAGAAGTGTTTCAGAATGTGTGTATGTGTGTGTGTGTGTGTGTGTGTGTGTGTGTGTGTGTGCATTTGTATATGAATATTTGCATACTGTAATGAGATATCTTTGGGGTGGAACCCAGATCTAAACAATTTATGTTTTATATACACCTCATACACATAGCCTGAAGATAATTTGTATACAATATTTTTATTGTGTGTTTTTACTATAAACCATTATTACATTAGGTGAGGTGTGGAATTTTCCACTGGTGGTATCATGCCAGTGCTCAAAAAGTTTCAAATTTTGGAGCATTTTGAAATTATAGATACTCAACCTATATCTTAGAATCGACTGTGTTTAATGGTATTTTAATTGTTTTAGCCTCACGGTGAGTTATTGATGGTTGTTTAAGGAGGGATTTTACTTATCTCAAATTAGGGAAGGCACCATATTCAGGGAGATTAAGAAGGTTGTGGGTGCGAAATTTGCTCGATTGAGAATTTCTCAAAATCCTAGTAGAGCTTATTTAGACAAGGGTTGCAAGCTCATGTCTATAGAAGCCAGGAAGGTACTCTAAATGGGGGTGAGTTTTTATCTTGTTAATCTTACATTTTGAATCATAGAAGTGACAGACCAGTAGTATGTATCTGAATGTATCTAATCTTATAGCTGAAACTTAATATAAACCATATAGAGAATTTTTGCATTAAGGAAAAATTTGCTAGAGAGTGCTTTTTGCTCACCAGAGAGAGAGAGAGAGAGAGAGAGAGAGAGAATCCCCCACCCGATAGCATGTGGTCTTGATATAATCTTCACTTCTTGATCCTGTTGGGATTTTGTGCACACATGCACATGTGCCCAGCACGTTTCTTGACTTGAACTGCACAGTTGGCTATGTGGGAGCTAGTTCCTTTAACCACTAGGACACAAGGTTAGTTCTGCCACAGGGCCAGCCCTCACAGTTGTTTTTTGTTTGTTTTTTCTAAGAGAGAGATTTTGGTTATAAGGTACATGCACTCACCAGAGAGACAGAAAGTGAGAAATCATTCCCCAAGGGGGTGGCCATGCCATAATCCCTTCTCCATTCTCTTCTCAGCATCTTAGGCATGCATGCACATGCGCCTGGCAGGAGTTTTAAGCCACTGTGTCTGGACTTGAACGGCAGTCAGCTGTGTGGGAGTCTAGGGACTTAACCATTATGCCATCTGCTGGTACCCCTCACAGTTTCTTTTAACACTAACAAAATAGTTACTTTTAAAATTTTTTTGCTTTAGGTCATATATGTTCACTGGACACAGAGATAGCAAGTGAGAAATAAGAAAGCACCCCTCAGGGATAATGACCATGTCACAATCCCTGTTTCTCTATTCTCTTCTTGAGATTTTGGGCATGCATGCACACATGCCAGGTGTGCTTTTCAGGCTGGCTGGTCTAAGACTCAACTGTGCAGTTGGCAACATAGGATCCAGCTCTCTTAACCTCCACGCATCTACTGGCCCAGTGTAAGACTTTTAAATATTAAATTTTTAGTTGTAGAGAAACACAGGAAACATGATTAAAAGTGCATTGATGGGGCCAGCGAGTGTCATGGTGATTAAGGTGCTGGAAACTCCCACATGGCTGACCATGGTTTGAGTCCTGGACCTGGTAGCTTGCTTTTTTTCACTTTCCCTCTTTTTCCATGTCTCTCTCTGGTCAAATTAAAGTAAATGAATGAATAAATAAAATAATTATGTATTTAAAAAGTGCATTGATGAGGGTGGAAGTTAGATAATTATTACATTTATGAATATAAAATTTATCTTATTTAGGTGTTTTACTTGAAATATGTCTCATATATGAAGCCAGCTATTATCTCTCTAGTTTAAAGTACAGAGCCAGAGCCTGTGGGTGGCATAATGGTTAGGGTGCTGGGCTCTCACTTGGCTGACCATGGGTGAGTCTTGTACCTGGCAGCTTGCTTTCTTACTTTCTCTTTCTCTCACTCTGTCTCCATTTGGTGATGACACATAGCAAATTAAAAGACAATAAAAATGATAAATATAATTAAACAAATAATTCCTTTTAAAAAACAGAAATCTGGGACCAGCAGTTGGTGTAATGGCTATATTGCTGGACTCCCATGTAGTTGACCGTGGTTCGAGTCCTGGACTTGGTGGCTTAAACTTACGCTGGGTGCATGTGTGTACATGCCCAAGAGGTGAATGGAGGAGAAGGGATTGCAGTGTGGCCATCCCCCCCGGTGGGGGGTCATTTCTCGCTTTCTGTCTGTCTCTGTCTTTCTGACTAGGGCCCGTACCCTATAACAACAACAATAAGACCTCTCCCCACCAAAAAAAAAATCCCACTGAAATCGTTTTTTGTTTTTTTTTTTTGTTTGTTTGTTTGTTTGTTTTTTTTAAGGAATTATTTTATTTGGGGCTGGCAGATGATGCGTGGTTAGGGGCACTAGACTCCCATGTGGTTGACCACAGTCGAGTCCTGGACTTGGTGGCTAACTTTCTTGCTTTCTCTTCCCCCTCCCCCCGGTCAAATTAAAACTTAATAAATAAAGTTATTAAGTTTTAATTTGACCAGAGAGAGAGAGAAAAAGCAAGCCACCAGGTCTAGGACTCAAACTGCAGTCAGCCATGCAGCTAATCTGCCAACCTCAAAACTGAAATCTTTAAGAAAGAAATAAAGTACAGGGGACCAGCAGGTGGCGTTGTGGTTAAGGTGCTGGACACTCCCACATGGCCGACCATGGTTCGAGTCCCGGACCTGGCGGCTTCCTTTCTCCCTTTCTCCCTCTCTCTCTGTGTGTGTCTCTCTCTGGTCAAATTAAAATAAATGAATGAATAAATAAAATTAAATAAATAATAATTTTAGAAAAAGAAAGAAAGTACAGAGAGCCAAATAAATATATTGATTTTCCCTTCATTTAAAAAAGTGCCTAGGGGGACCAGCAGATGGCATAATGGTTATATTGCTGGACTCGTAGTCAACTGTGGTTCCAGTCCCAGGTCCAGCAGCCTATAATTCACTTATGTGTACATGCCCAAAATCCCGAGAGGAGACTTGAGGAGAAGGGACTGTGGCATGGCCTTCCTACTGTAGGATGATTTCTCTCTTTCTGTCTTTCTTTTCGTCTCTCCAGTGAGCACATGTGCCCCATAGTAAAAATCCCTTAAAAAAAAAGTACCTAGGATTCGTGAGACATGATAGATTACAGAGGAAATGCAACCAATCCTTCCTATATGGTGCTTATACGTGAAAATGTATCTTTTCTTTTTTTAAAGAATTATTTAACTTTATTTATTAATATTATTTTCCAGTTTTATCAGCCAGAGAGAGAAAGTGAGAAAGCAAGCCACCAGGTCTGGGACTCAAACCATGGTCGACCATGTGGGAATATCCAGCACCTTAACCACCATGCCACCTGCTGGTTTCCAAAAATTTATCTTAAATATGTGCATTGATATTTGGATTAGAGAATTAATATATAGAGAAGAAATGACAAGGTGAATGAATCTGGAATTATGTCAGTATTTAAAAATGAATGCGTATCTGTTTTGTGACAGCACTTTTCTTTCATTTTCAAAAGGTAGGTAGGTAGTTGTGTGTGTATGTGCATGTGTGTATAAACGCAGAAATAAATATATATATATATGTATGTGTGTGTGTGTGTGTATATATATAAATGTACATTAAAAGTATATAGATGTGATTATGGTTAGCAGTTGTTTGTTTTACAGTGATGGGGAATTCTTCAACTTTTCTAATTTGTATCTTGTTGTTTTGCTTTCTTTCAGATACGTATGAACCAGATGGTTATAATCCAGAAGCTCCCAGTATTACCAGTTCTGGTAGATCTCAGTATAGACAGTTCTTTTCAAGAACACAGACACAGCGCCCTAACCTGATTGGCCTAACATCTGGAGATATGGATGCAAATCCTAGAGGTGAGAATGCCTTGAACTCTTTTGGATGCTAAATGTTATACTGTAATCATATATACTAATTACATTTGCATTTCTTAGCTCACTTGAAGAAATTAAGATCTAATGGGTCTGGCAGGTGGTGTGGTGGTTAAGGGTGCTGGACTGTAACGTGGACAACCTTGGTTTGAGTCCCAGACCTGGTGGCTTGCTTTCTCACTTTCCTTCTTTGTCTCTCTCATTCTGTCCCTCTCTTGTAAAATAAGAATATTTAAATAAAGTTAAATAGAATAATTCTTTTAAAAAAATTAAGATCTAAAAGCACTTATTTCATTCAAGAATATTATATAATATCTCAGATATTTTGTAGCTCTTTTTATTAAAAGAGAGAGCGATTGATTGCATCTGTGCGGGCTGGTAGAGGAATTGGACTATTTTTCACAGGGTCTCCTTATGATCCTCTGTCCCATCCTTTCAGATAGCTAAGAAAACAGGTGCACCATACCCATCCTGTCTAGGTTAGTCTGGGAACTAAACTTAGACCTTCCACATGACTCCAGCCACAGACAGTGGTTCCATTTTTCTTATGCTCTTGTGGAGAGAGAGAGAGAGAGAGAGAGAGAAGTGAGAAAGCAAGCTGCCAGGTCCAGGACTTGAACCACAGTCGGCCATGTGGCAGTCTAGCGCTCTTAATTACCATGCCACCTGCTGGCCCCTCATTTGCCTATTTTTAACACTTAGGATTACAACCGTAAGTTAGGATCTTACACACTAAAGGCACAAACTTTTAGAAAATTAAAACAAAGATTAAGTATAAGCGTTTACTGGTTGATAACCTCCTTTCTTCTATACCCCCTGAAAAAGGCTGTTTAACAAGTTTGATGAGATTTCAGGATTTTTTTCTTTTCTTTTTTTAAATTTCCCAGAGGGTGCTTGCATTTGCTAGACACACACACACACACACACACACACACACACACAGAGAGAGAGACAGAGAGAGAAAGAGAGAGAGAGAGAGAGAGAGAGAGAGAGAGAGTAAGTGGAAAAGCACCTGTTATGGGGGATAGTTATGTTGTTAGTCCCTTCTTCATCTCTCCCTCTTAGTATTTAGGCATGCACACACATGTGTCTGGTTCTCAAACCACCAGATCCAGGCTTCTAACCGTGCTATCAACCATGTGGGATTTAGCTGCCTTAACTACCACACAGCTGACTGGGCTAGGCTTCTTAACTTGTAGTTAGATTTCCAATATGTAACTTCTGTTTGAGTTTACATATCACTGTCTCTTGTATTCCTTACTGTAACTCCATAAAAGAGGTATTATTTTTCTTTTCTTTTTACAAGCAAAGACATTGAGGCTTAAGAGGTTAAAGAATTTGCCCAAGGCCAGACTGATATGAAGTGGCAGAACTGGAATTTGAATACAGGTCTATCTGATAATGCATCTTTTGCTACTGAGTTACCTAAAATTAGTGGCAAAATCATATTCTCAATGATTTCAAGTTTTCCCTTTGTCACTAACCTGATCTGCTTATACATGTATGCATAATCATTCAGAGATGAGCTCTCTCATTGTATGAGTCATATAGTTTGTATATTGCAGATTTGCTTTGTCATCCTGGGCAAATCACTTAATCTCTAGGTCTAACTTTCCTTTTTAATAAAGCACTTGAGTAAAGAAAGCCTTGAGGCATGGGACCAGCAGATGGCATAATGGTAACATTGCTGGACTCCCATGTAGTCGACTATAGTTCGAGTCCCAGATCCAGCAGTTTTAAGCTCACACCAGGCATGTGTTCATGGATGCCCAAGATCCTGAGAGGAGAATGGAGAAGAAGGAATTGCAGCGTGCCCATCCACTGTGGGGGATGATTTCTCACTTTCTGTCTCTCTGGCAAGTGCATGTGCTCTATAGCAAAAATCTTTCAAAAAAAAGAAGAAAGAAGGACCAGCAGTTAGCATAATGGCTATGTCGGTGGACTCCCGTGTAATTGACTATGGTTCAAGTCCCAGACCTGGTTACTTAAACTCACGCTGGGCACGTGTGCGTGCGTGCCCAAGATCCTGAGAGGAGAATGAAGGAGAAGGGATTGCGGCATGGCCACACCTCTGGGGGGTGATTTCTCGCTTTCTGTCTCTCTCTCTCTGTCTTCTCTCTCTCTCTCTCTCTCTCTGTCTTTCTCGCGAGCGCCCTATAGCAAAAACCTATCCATAAAGAAAAGAAAAGCATGAGACAGTGTTAGGTGGTAATGATAACTATTTAAGGAAGACATAATGACACCTATAATTCTAGAATCCTTTACTCCGTCACAATTAATATCTTGTCCATTAGCCTTCTGAAAACGCAAATTCTTCAAGGGCTAGAATCATATCTATTTTATTCACTAATTTATACCCAAATTCCAGTACAGTTGCTAAGTTATAAAGTAGCTGTTCAAGAAGTATATGTTCAATCAACTAATCTTCACATTATAATTTCCCTGTTATACAGATGTAATGGAACATAGCCCCCTACCCACATCTCCACCCCAACATATCCCTACATATGTTATTCTGTGCTTTGGGGAGCTGCTAAAATTAAAACTCAGGGTATGACAGCACATAGTTCTGTTTTGTTATTTACTTCCCTATTCAGTTCCTACAGGTATATCTATTGTAAGGTCAGTTTCTTTTTTCTTTTTCTTTCTTTTTTTTTTTGAAGAAGCTTTTGCCTTAGTGTCTGTGCACTCCTTGGTGAGAAAGAGAAGAGACAGCAACATTGAGAGGGAAAGTAAGAAATCACCTTCCTCCAGTGGGGTGGGCATGTCTCAATCCCTTCTCCATTCTTCTCTCGGGATCTTGGTCATGCACACATAAGCACCTGGTGTGATTTTCAAGCCATGGGATCGGGGACTCAAACAATAGTCCGCCAAGTAGGAGTCCATCAACATAACCACTTTGCCACGTATTGGCCCTGCCTTTGAATCTTTAAACTTGGATTTCTACACTTAACAAAAAATGAGGCATTTGCAATTTTTTTCTCAGTGTTAGGCATTTCTAAAAAGAAAATGGCGGTAGAGTGCTGTTCCCAATACTTCGTAGCTTTTATACTAAGTATTTTAATCACTTGAAACTCCCAAAAAACTCAGTAATGTGAATTTTTGTTTCCAACAGCAGCTAACATCGTCATCCAGACTGAACCACCAGTTCCTGTTTCAATTAATAGCAACATCACCAGAGTAGTTCTTGAACCAGATAGCCGAAAAAGAGCTGTGAGTGGTTTGGAAGGGCCACTCACAAAGAAACCTTGGCTGGGAAAGTAAGATCATTTGCTAATTATTAAAAGTATCTAATGGGAATTTCTGTTGTTTTTTTTTGTATTACTAAACTTGCAAGATTATTAAAAGAGTTGACACTAGTCAGTGATTTTCAAACTGTGTCTCAGAGTTAGAGTTCTAGTAGACATCTTTAAAATATCTTAAAAATTGAAAAGCTGACTACTTATAATAAATATTGTGATTTGTATTTACCTGTTTCTATGCCTAACACAATATTAATAATTATTGAGATATTGAAAATAAGTAGAAAAGAAGAAAAGAGTTCGGTGTCTTATCTGAGGTTGAAAAATACACCATTAAAAATGATGTTCTATCTTTACTTTCATGTTAGACTCTTTGGTAAGTGTGGTCTTTTTGTTTAGCATGTAATGTTTAATGTCATTTGGGCTTATAAAAGGTACTTTCAATAAATATAAACGTTTGTTTTTCTTGCCGATACATGTCTTGGCTAGACGCGAGGTGGGAGAACTAACCAAGATCTGTTAATACTCCTTCTAGGCAGGGGAATAACAATCAGAGTAAACCAGGATTCTTGAGAAAGAATCAGTATACAAACACCAAATTAGAAGTCAAGAAAATCCCTCAAGAACTGAACAACATTACCAAGCTCAATGAACATTTCAGCAAATTTGGAACTATTGTTAATATTCAGGTAAATGTGGGTATGTCAGTGATAGAATCCATGCATTTTTATGGATCTTGGAAAGTATTCCTATCAGCCCCGTTTGCTTAAATGAGTTTAGTGATTATTCTGATCATCTCTGCTAAGTGTTTAAATTCCACTGTATATTTGTATACACACTTTTTGAAGGAATTGTTAAGCTGAATTTGTTCTTGTGAATTCATTTGGTTCCTTTCTTCAACTTCTTCCTGAAAGTCACTGGGCTAGTTACACTATTTTTGTGCATAGTTCTGGCTCTGAAGAGTAACTTTTTAAAAAAATCTGTGTTAATATTCTAACCATGTAGCTGAGACTTTTGGTAATTTCTACAATTATAATTTTATCTAGTGACTAACTTATATTGTGGTGAAATAATAATTGGTTAAAGACAATTTTGATCTTGAGAATTTTAGACAGTATAATAATATTATCCATACATTGTAGCTATTGTATTTTGCAGTTTACTTGTTAGATATTTAAATTTATGAATCCATGATAGGTGTTAGGCTATAATTAAAGGTACTTGAAGGCTAGTTTAAGTTGAAATTTTAGTATGCTACCTCTGACACTTAAGGGTTATCTTTTTTTTCTTTTGGAGGGGTTTTTTTGCTATAGGGCGCGTGTGCTCGCCAGAAAGACAGAGACAGAGAGACAGGAAGCAAGAAATCACCCCCCAGGGGGGATGGCCATGTCGCATTCCCTTCTCCATTTTCCTCTTGGGATCTTGGGCATGCATGCATATGTACCTGGTGTGAGTTTAAACCACCAGGTCCAGGACTCAAACTGCTGTCAACTACATGGGAGTCCAGCGACACGGCCATTACACGAACTGCTGGTCCCTTAAGTGTTATCTTGAAACCAAAATGTAACTGAGTTTAAGACAGTTGTATTAGAGGTCTTGGTATTTCAAATAATTGAACCAAAGTTTTTCTGAGAGATTTTTTGAGAAGTAGCACATGCTTAGTTTTATAGATAATTGGAAATGCATTAAACACAAATGAAAAAACCAAATCACTCAAATCTTGTACTTACCTAAAAATAACTGTTTTTTGATGAAAAGACACATTGTTTTTATTTATTTATATGAAAAAAATATATACATATTCTCTTTTTAAAAATGTTTTACATACTTAACGTAAAAGAGGGCCACCCAGTGGCATGATTAAAATGCTGGATCCTACATGGCCCATGATATGGTTCAAGTTTATGGTTATGGCAGTGTGAAAAACCACCATGTACATGTGTGCATGCTAAAATCTCAACAGGAAAATGGCCATCCCCCTGAGGAGGTAATTTCTCATTTTCTCTCTCTCTCACCATTTGTCTCTCTGATGAGCACATGTACCCTATCATAAACTAAGAAAAAAAACAAAGACAAAAGATGTGATCGTGCTAAATATGTCTGCTCGGGCTACTATAATGAATACTATAGACTGATAGGCTTAGTGGCTTAGACAATAGTGGTAGTATTAGTATTTTCTTAGTTTGCTGTAGGGTATGTGCACTTGCCAGAGAGAGACAAATCAAGAGAAGGGGAAAGTGAGAAGTCACCCCCCAGGGGTCAGTGACCCTGTCACAACCGCTTCATTTTTCTTCTCTCAGGATTTTAGGCATGCACACACATGTGCTTGCCATGTTTTTCAATCCTCTGGGTCTAGGACTCAAACCGTGCACTTGGCCATGTGGGATCTAGCCTCTTTAACCACTATATCATCACCTGGCTCAACAACAGAACTTTTTTTTATAGTTCTGAAGGCTGGAAAGTCCAAGATCAAGGTACTAGCCAGTTTGGTTCCTTGTCTCTTCTTCCTGGCTCATAGATGGCTGGCTTTTCATGGGTCCTCACATGATAGAGAGATAGAGTGGAAAAATTTTTTCCTCTTATAAGGCTACCAATCCTATCCAATTAGCCTTGTTTATCTTTTTTTTTTTTTAACCAGAGGGCCTATGACTCACCAGAGAGGAACAGAGATGGGGGTGAAAGTACCACCCAGTGGGGCATGATCACACCATAGTCCTTTCTCTTCTGTTTCTCCATCCTGTTGAGATTTGGGCATGCACATGCTCCGATTTTGTTTTTTCAAGCTACCACCTCTGGGACTGAAACTGCGAGATTGGTCATGTGAAATCTGATTCTCCTAAATACCAGGATACTGTGCGAGCCCCTCATTTAACTTTAATTACTTTCTAAGAGGTCTGTCTCCACATTTAGTCACATTGGCAGTTAGGACTAAAACATGAATTTTGGGTAAACACAATTCAGTCCTTAGCAATGGGCCATAATTTATTTTATTGTTCTTTGTTGCCGGGAATTCATGTTGTTTCTATCATTTTCTTCAAGGTTGCGTTTAAGGGTGATCCAGAAGCAGCACTCATCCAATATCTTACCAATGAGGAGGCCAGGAAGGCTATTTCTAGCACAGAAGCTGTGCTAAACAACCGATTTATTAGAGTCCTGTGGCACAGGGAAAACAATGAACAACCAGCACTACAGTCCCCAACGCAACTGCTCTTGCAACAACAGCAGACACTTAGTCACCTCTCACAGCAGCATCATCACCTGCCACAGCATCTTCATCAGCAGCCAGTGCTTGTGGCCCAGTCTCAATCCTCATCAGTGCATGGAGGTATCCAGAAGGTAATCCGATTCACTAGAAATGAAAGGTCCTCTCATCCTACCCTCTAAATCATTCTCAATTCACACTTCTTGGGTCCTTTATATCAGAGCCACTCAGAGTTTGACCTGCAGACTAGCAGCATCTAACCTCTTGGAAATTTGTCAGAAATTCAGGTTCTTGGGCTTTACTCCATCTAACTAGATCGGGAATCCTTATGGCTAAGGCCCAGGAATCTGTCTCAGCAAGTTCACTAAGTGATTTTATGTGCCATAAAGTTTGAGAGGTGCTGTTCTATATCAGAATCATTTGCCTGAGTGCAAGTTCCTGGGCTTTACCTTCTAGAGTCAATCTCTAGGTAATGAGGCTCATAAATCTATATACTTAAGGAGTGTGTGTTTTATTTTTTAAGATAGTGTCTTGACTTGTTGAGGTCCTCCTTCTTCAGTCACAATCTCCCAGCTAGGCATGTGCCACCATGCTTACTAATGTTTTAGACAGGGTCTTGCTATGTTGACATCCCACACCATCCTCAAGCCTACGATCTTCCTGGCTCAGCCTTCCTCAGCCACTGGGGTTACAGATGCATGCCTTTGCATATAGCCTTTAGGTTGGACCAGGAAATTACCCTGAACTTACCATGTAGTCCCAGACTGGGAACTCAGTGTCTTAGTAGCATGCACCATTGCAGCTGGGCCAGAAGTGTGATTCTTATGTACACTGAGATTTAGCTGTCACCACTGAGTAACTCTGAATTTAGAACTACTACCTTATTTTGTGTTAGAATAAGTCTCCCTGAATTATGCACCCATTTGTTCCCCTAGATGTTAGAGGAATAGTATAGAAAAAAGTGATACCATCACCTTCGTGATTATTGGAATGCGTTCTATTAATGCATCTCAAGATTGCATTATGTTTTCAAGCGATCATTTCACACTTTTAATCATATTAAGCTGCTGTCAACTAAGTCTTTCAAAGCTTTATATATTAGAGAAGACATTTTAAAATTATTAGCAGTGTTTATACAAATGAGCATGTATTTTATTTATTTATTTATTTATTTATTTATTTATTTATTTATTTATTTATTTATTTATTTATTTATTTATTTATTTATTTATTTATTTATTTATTTATTTATTTATTTATTTATTTATTTATTTATTTATTTATTTATTTATTTATTTATTTATTTATTTATTTATTTATTTATTTATTT